GAGGTCCATGATGCAGGGACTTGCGTTCTTCGGGGTGGGTGTAGCGGTAACAAGGCAAGTCAAGACAAGGAAAATCAAGCAGAGTAAGTGCCTCGAGAAGACTCAGAAGGGGTGCGGTGATAGCAAGTGGGTGGAGCTTCAGGATAAACTGCTGTGCCCCTTCACCTGTCTTTCCTACGTTCTGTCTCCGGCCCTTTCTCGTGTGGTGTTGGGGGTGAATCCCTTCACACGAGGGATGTAGACTGATCAGCAGGTCACTGTCAAGGGGTCCCAAACACCTGAGTGGAGGCCTGACCAGAGAGCGGGGTCCTGGGAGGGGCCGTGGCCTGCCTGGAGGGCAGGAGGGAATTCACACTTCGTGTTAGGGTGGGGACCTGAGGCTCAGAGAGGGTGGTCTCCACTAGAACATGTCCTGTTACCTCCTTGTGTGGGAGCCCCTCCCAGCCCAGCCTCGGCCTCTGGGAGGCGGCTCTTGGTCTGCTGTTCCAGTTCCAACGAAGTCCTGTCAGAGGCTCCCTGGGGATCAGTTTGGATCCTGGAAGGGTGTGTGCGTCTGGATGTTTCTCCTGGTGACTCTGACCACGGATTTCCCAAGTCACTTCAGAGAAATGCCATGCCTGCTCCCTAGGGAGGGCTCGTCACCTCCGTACCGGGACCGGCCGGGTCTTGCCCGCATTTCCTGGGGCTGCTGTCACCTGTGGGCTGTGTCTTGCAAGCCCACACGTCGGGTGTGAACCTCGCTGTGTCTGAGGACGGACAGCACGGTACGTGTTCAAGGCTGCATTTTGACTCTGTGACATTCCTGAAGTCCAGCCATGTGTGAATTCTTTGATATGAGTGTCGGTTAATCATTTCTGACACAGCATGAATCTGTTTCCCAAGACTTGCCTCTCCTGGTGTCTGGTTTCGAGGCCCACACTGCCGTCCCCCGCATCCAGCATTTGAAATTGAACCCCTATCGGCCTCCCCGACGAGGAATCGTTTGCAGCAGGTTAAAAGGCTGTAGAAATGTGAGCGCTTCGTAAGGACCAAACACTTTTGTGCTCACACAGAGTCTCCACTGGCTGCTTTAGAGCGTCTGAATGGAAGCACACAGGGAGAGTCTGCACATAGAGGAGAAAATAAGTTGAAGGAAATAAAAGGGACAGACCCCAAGTGATGGCTTCTGGCTGATCTGTTGAGAATCCAGAATCTGGATCTGCCCAGATTCGCAAAGCTTGTTGCTTTCAGGTCCCCACTGAAGTGCACGGCGGCCCTTTAGGTGTTTTCTCAGATGGCGGCAGGGGTGAGCGTGGTGGGTCTGTCCTCACTGGCCCCGTTTCCACCTGTCCCGTGGCGGGTTCTGCTCAGGGCAGCCTGTGCACACGGAGGGGTGTAGACGTCACCAACCTCAGGCCGTGTGACTGGCGGGCGCCTCCGGTTTGTGTATCTTGTGCCTGCTTCCTTTGGCCCCTGAGTGCCCAGGCCTGGCTGCTTACAGGGGAGGGTATGGGGTCAGTGGGGGCAGGGGGTACTCTGGGTCTGGCCAGCAGCCGCACAAGGCACAGCCAAGCCCAAGGAGGGAAGATGCAGGGACGCTGGCCTTCCCCCATCCTGTGTCCAGCACCCTGCTAACGTGAGAATTGAGAAAGTCCTCGTCTGTTGCCATGTGGCCCCTTTATTCCCATGTCGTCTTTTTCTTTTGTGCAAATGTGTGGCAAACCTTGAAAATTCTTCTTGGAAATATTAGGGAGCAGTTCCTTTTGCTCTTTATTCCTCCCCACCTGTGCCAGCACAGTTGCAGCACGCTTTCTCATCAGCCCGTGCCAGATCCCAACATCGGTGCTCTGAATGAGCAGCTGAAATGGCTTTGTCTTTCTCAGACAGGAGAGGTGGACGTGCGGAAGTGAGCCTGGCCCGGCCGCCGTCTCCCGATTTCTTTCCCGCCGGGTCTTCGTCCTGCGTGCTGGCCGTACAGCGTGAGGCAGCTTTGTCTTCCCTTGACAAAAACAGACGACCTGAGCCCAAATCAAATACCCCTGGTGTCTGCGTTTCACCCCTCCCTCCCAATTCAAGCTGCTGTGTAATTACATGCACACCTCTCACCTCCGACTGAGAACCTTCTCTCCTCTTACTGTGTGTTATTACTCGTGACAATCTTGACGGGAAGGCCACATCATGTATTTTATTCCCATTTTACAGATAAAAATGGGGAAGGAGATTCCCGAAGGTCATCCAGGTAGAGAGTAGCCGGGGGGTTGAGAATGGTGGATGCTCATCCGGACAACTTTATTTTCTTATTGAGGTGAAATTCACATAACATAAAATTAACCTTTAAAGTGAACAATGCAGCGGCATCTAGTGCATTCACGAGATTGTGCAACCACCACTTCTGTCTAGATCTCAAATATTGTCATTGCCCTAAAAGGAAACTCTGTACCCATTAGCAGTCACTCCCCATTCCCCTCAGACCCTGCCTCCCAGCCCTGGGACTCACCAGTCTACTTGCTGTCTATGGATTTGCCTATTCGGGACATTTCATATCAGCGGAATCACACAATATGTGGGTGGCCTTTTGTGACAGGCTGCTTTCGCTGAGTGTAATGTTGTGGAGGATCATGCACATTGTAGCACGTGTCAGTGCTTCATTCCTTTTTATGGCCGAATAATACTCCATTGAGTGGATAGACCACATTGTGTTTATCCGTTCATCGCTGGATGGACATGTGGATTGTTGTATCTTTTGGCTGTTGTGAGTAGTGCTGTTGTGAACATTTGTGAGCACGCTTTTGTTTGAGTGCCTGTTTTCAGTTCTCTCGGGTCTGTACCTGGGAGTGGAGTTGCCGGGTCCTGTGGCAGCTCTGTTTACTCTTTGAGGAACCCCATCCATGCCTCTTGAGTCACCTGCAGCCTCGTTTTCCTTTTGCTCACAGCCTTTCCCCGAGCTTCCCGTGTGCTCTCTTGGTGACACTGACTGCACAGTGGGTAGTTGGTGCGTGTTAAGCAGACTGGCCACGAGGCGGGCTGCTGGTTCTGGGGCAGCATGGGAAGGGGTGGCGTGGCGGGTGCCCCGTGGAGCAGGGAGCAGGCCCTCAGAGTCATGGCTTCTCCCCAGTGCTTCCGTGTGCGTCTCTCCTGCTGGTCCTTTCACTTCTTGCTCTGAGGATGCTTGGTCCTGCGGCCGTAGGACCGTCACTTTTGACCCAATGGCCAGTGGATCCGGGAGTAGGAATCCAGAAGCAGATGTTGGGTGATCTGATCAGAGACTGTTTGTTTTCCTAAAATCCTCGCTTGCTGCTTTGATTAAGTAGTCCCAGGCTCTGCAGTCTGTCTTAACGGTGGGCTGTCTCAGGCGGTAACTGAGGCTCTGAGTGCAAATGTTGATTTTTTTGTCTTCGCCTCCAGTTTCTCCTGCTTTTGCTTGAATCCCATAGCTCTGAGCCACTGATAACTGAGCAGCAGTTTAGGACGACTGCTGTTGTGTAAACAGCGGCTTCATTCCAGTCAGCTTCCCAAGCATAAATGCTGTTTACGTCCGTGCTCTGGAAGGCTCACACCCATCCCCAAAAATGTAAATTATAAGTTGTAAAGATAATATGGGGCTCGCACAGCCCGGGGATGGTTCTTTCCCCAGGATCGCACCTAGCACTTAAGCATCCCGTAATAGGTGCTTGTGCACGTTTTCCAAAGCGGGCTGCTGATACAGAGCGAGAAAACATTATTTTTTATACTTCTCTAACTGCTGCTTAACTGAACGTGAAATCTTGAAGGATATAGTTTATCAGACCTGTGATCTCACCAACTGACGTAGAAGAAAATGGAAAGGATTATCCGTGACCTAGGAGACCAGGTGGTGTGGTAAAATCCTCCCTTGGATTTGTCTAAGAGGGGTTCTTGAGAGACTCCTGTATCTTATGTTGACATTACCCTCAAAGTCCCTGTAACACAGAGAGCATGGGTATTCTAATATTAAATCCTTATCTTGTAGACAGAGAAACTGAGGTACAGGTCAGATGGTTGGCCGGGGGGAGTGGAAGGCTCAGCTGGGATCACCACGTACAGTGGTGCAGGCTGTGCACTGCACAACTCCAGGGGGCACCACCAGGGTCTGAGATCAAGTTGTGGGCAGGGCTGTGCTCCCTCTGAAGGCTCTAGGGGAGGGTCCTTCCTGCCTCTTCCAGCCTCTGGTTGTACCAGCCATCCTTGAATTCCTCGGCTTGTAGACGCATCACTGCCGTCTCTGCCTCAGTTGTCACGTGGTGTTCTCCTTGTGTGTGTCTGTCTCTGCATCTGTTTTATAAGGACACCAGTCATATTGGATTAGGACCCACCTTACTGCAGAACCTCATCTTAACTAATTATAGCTACAACAGCCCTATTTCCAAATAAGATCACATTCTGAGGTTTGGAAAGGACATAATTTTTTTTTTTTTTTTTTAATTGATGTTTTAGTGGTTTCTAACATTGTGAAATTTTGGGTTGTACATTTTTGTTTGTCCATCACCACATATATGACTCCCTTCACCCCTTGTGCCCACCCCCCACCCCCACTGCCCCGGGTAACCACAGTCCAGTTTTCTCTGTCCATGTGTTGGTTTATATTCCACATATGAGTGAGATCATGCAGTGTTTGTCTTTCTCTTTCTGGCTTATTTCACTTAACATAATACGCTCCAGGCCCATCCATGTTGTTGCAAATGGGACGATTTTGTCTTTTTTTATGGCTGAGTAGTATTCCATTGTATATATATACCACATTTTCTTAATCCAATCGTCAGTCGAGGGACACTTAGGTTGCTTTGGAAAGGACATAATTTTATTTAAGATTATAACCCAGTACAGCTGGTTTTGGGGACTAATTTAAAACAAGGCTGGGGGGGCTTCTTGCCCCTGATGCGCACGCCACCCTCCCGTGTCCTCCCCCCTCCGCAGGCAGGGTGGCACGTGCAGGGGCTGGTGAACCTGCCGAGGGTGCTGGTGGGAGAACGTGCTGATGCCTCCCGTGCTTTGTCTTCCGACAGCCCAACATCGGCCGCCTGGGCCTGCCCCACGGGCCGTCCGGAGAGAAGGTGGCCGTGGTGACTGTGGACGACTGTGACACGGCTGTGGCCGTGCGCTTTGGCGGCTTCATCGGGAACTACAGCTGTGCTGCCCAGGGCACTCAGAGCGGCTCTAAGAAGTGAGCATCCGGGAAGAGGGACCATGGGCATCCAACCCCCCTGGCCAGCGCTGCAAAAGGGGTCGCCCAGGGCCGGACCCCCACATATGACACCTGGGCCCAGCGTCCCGGAGCCCCAATCTAGGCTAGAGTCAGATTCCCTCCCCTTCCCTCCGACACGTTAGAACCTTCTAGAATATATCCCCTTAGATGCATCTGCCAAAGTAGTGGCCAGGCCAACCCCAGGGTTGTGACGGCCGGCACGCTGACCCCGGAGACTGTCCTCAGCATAGTCTGCATGGGATCGCTGGCTTGTTCCAGCCAGTGCTGGTCTCTGTGGTTCAGTGTTAGTAGTAATTCTCCTCTGTTAGATCGGAGTGGCTGTGTCACCCTGCTGATCTCAAGGTTTCTTAGGGCTCATCCTCACTCAGGGACAGAGAAATGCTGATGTAGACATTATGGCCCTTCTCGTGTTTATCTTGTAATGCCAGCCTCAAAAGCCAGAGCAAAGGTCCTTGTTGGACTCATTTCTGATTGTGTTTCGGTGGAATATTTAATAAGCTCTTTGAAGACCCCAGTGAGATGAACCTGATCTCTCCTGAGCATCTGGTGTGGCCTTGGGATGGTTATACGCCTGTTCCGTAGGATCCCCACCCAGCTGTGATGGAGTGGGATCCCGCCTGTTTTACTGATAAGATGGCTGTGCCCAAGGCCGCGTGGCTGCTCCTGTGGAACCAGGGTTCTGATTTGCTGTGACCTCCCTTCAAGGGCACCAGAGGCTGGAGGAAGGTAGCACCACTGTGGCATTGACCTGTGCTCAGTGGGCTGCACGTCCTGTTTCTGCATGGACTGGCCCAGGCTCTGATGCGAGTGCAAGGAAACTGAGGCACGGAGAGGCGTGAATGCCAGTGGTGGCAGCAGAAGTAGGATCCGGCTTTCGTGTTCTGGCCTGTTGGCCGCCTGCCTTCCTGGCTCCCTGTTCATTGATTGACGTTCAAGACGATGAGCGTGTCCGGTGGCAGAGGCCGCTGTGACGTAGCTGCCTCTCGCTGCCTGGATGTCACAGAGCTTGGCTCTGCCTCCTCAGGTCCCTGGATCTGACAGGCCCTCTGCTCCTGGGGGGCGTCCCCAACCTGCCTGAAGACTTCCCAGTGCACAACCGGCAGTTCGTGGGCTGCATGCGGAACCTGTCCATCGATGGCAGGAACGTGGACATGGCCGCCTTCATCGCCAACAATGGCACCAGGGCAGGTACGGCATGACAGCCAGGGCATCGTGGGGCTGTAGCAGTGGTGCCCGGCTGGGCCTCAGTGGCCATGCAGGGGAAGGCCACCTCCACATCCTGGGCCGTGACTTTTTCCTAGAACCGAGCCCGTATGCGCCCAGCTGTGGGCCTCCAGGAAGGGAGCCCGGGCTCGAGGTCGGGCTGCTCTTGGGGCCTGGGGCTTCTGCAGTGTGGGGTGGTGGTGATGTTGCTGGGCTGGCCAGCCACCAACCCCGGGGGCACTCAATCCCAGGGACTTGGGCATGTAATCAGACGACCCAGCCAGCTGGCAGGATGGCCCAGAGGCCCAGAGTCTCCAGACGTGGGCAGCTCATTCTGTGCCACTTCAGGTCTTACGTACTGACCACTGCCGGAGGGTCCCGGGCCTGCCCACCTTCCCTCTGGCTGTTGTTCGCTGGGCTCAGTCTTCCCACAGCGTAGATCCGTGTTAGGAAACAGCGGCAGATCCCCCCGTGTCACGCTCTGCTTGTGTTTCCTGCTCTGAGACTGCGCTGTGCGCTCTGTTTCCAGGCTGTGCCGCTCAGAGGAACTTCTGTGACGGGATCTGGTGTCAGAACGGGGGCACCTGTGTCAGCAGGTGGAATACCTATCTCTGCGAGTGCCCACTCCGGTTCGGCGGGAAGAACTGCGAGCAAGGTGAGTGCCTGGCGTTGTCGGTACCTGCCCCACCACGGGGCCTCGGACGTGTTGCTCTTGGGTGCCGGGTGCCCGGGACCACTCGTGTGGGTCTCCGTGTCCAGGGCCAGCAGCCTCTGGTGGCCCGTGTGTTCCCAGGCATAGGGGGCGCGGGAGCATGCACAGGGCCTAGGCTGGGGTGAGAGGCTGAGGGGGCTCGTGGGGGCACCACAACAGGTGGAACTGGAGCGGGGGGGGTCGGGCACGGCTCTGCAGGACGCAGCGCCTCGTCTGAGCAGCGCCAGCATGAGGTCAGGAGTCCCCGAGGGTCAGAGAAGCAAGATGGGGTGTGGCTGGGCCTCCTGGTGGCTGCAGCCTGCCCCCACAGGCACACCGCGGCCTGAAAGGGCAATTCCCCGGGCCCAGGACCCCCCAGTCCCCCCCCTCATTCCAGAGGGGCCTCCCGGCTGGCTGCTTCCTCACTGGACCGTGCCGTGGGCATCAAAGATGGGGCCTAGCTCCCCCCACCCACCCCTGCGTCTAGTATGCTGTCATAGACACTGGCAGGTTTTAAACAGTTCATTCATTTTGAAGCAAAACAACATTAAATAAGTGTCATCGTTTTTAAAATCATTGACGCTTTTTAATTTTAAGATAAACTGAAAGGGGTAGATTGAAGCCAGATAAGTTTGGGCATGCCCCCTGGATCCGCCTCTGGAGATGCCCAGTGCTCATAGCAAGTTGATGGCCCTAGGAGTCCTGCCCTGGAGTCACCCACTGGCCGCAAACCCATGGGAATAGGAGGGACGTCTTTCAAGGCCCAGTGGGTCTGTTTTCCGGGCAGCAGGTGGACTGGACCCCTTGGGGCCCTGTAGACAGGTCAGGCCCAGCCCTGGCTGACCAGTGTGTATGGGAAGCTCAGACCCCAGGGAGGGGACAGCAGGACTGGGTGGACACAGTGCTGGGCAGGGCTGCCCACACCCAGAGTTCCTGTTATGGAGGCCGCGAGTCCCGGCTACAGCTGTGCCAGAGAAAACAGCTGCCAGGGTTTGGGTTCAAAAGAGCAGGAAACAGACACCCGGTGCTCACGAGGATGAGTTGTCCCCAAAGGCAGCCCCTAGCTGGGTGCCCTGTGCTGGTGGTCTCATCTTTAACCACCTCATGGTGAGGCCTGTGCCATCCCACCTGGAGGAATTAGGGTGAGATTCTGGGATGGGCCCTGCCTGTGGTACGCAGGAGTCTGGAGGCAAAATGATGAAGTTGGTTTGACTCTGCATCCTGCCTGCCTAGTGGTCTATCTGGCACCCACGGTTTTTCCAAGCATAACAGACTGGATGAGGCTGTTGGTCCCCCGTTGCCACCTCCCTGGTACCCCAAACCATCTGGGAGCCCTCGGCTGGCCAGCAGCCTTCCCACCTCTGTGCTCATCACCAGGTGGGTTGGAAACCCACCCCAGACACCAGCTGACGGTGGGTCAGGTTGCAGGGTTAGGGGCGTGTGCTGTCCCACCAGGATATCATCCTCCGTCCACCCCAGCTCCTGCTCCTGGGGCCCCCACCTGGCCAGGTTTGGGGTGGGACAGGTAGGCTGGGCTCACCGGGCCCCCCAGCATCGTCGTCTACTGAGCCCAGGGGTGCTGAGCTGTCCCACTCTGCCTCCCGTCCAGCCTGAGTGCCCTTGCCATACCCTGGCCACGGTTCGGAACCTGCAGGCTTTGGCCTCACTCCTCAGGAAGGTGGCATGAGTCCCAGGGGATGGGTTTCTGCAGAGCCCACGGCTCTTGGATTCTGAGGGCTAGATGCTGTATGCATGGAAGTCTGAAAGCGGCCTTTGCATTAAAAGAAAGAGGCCCAGGATTCCTTCCCTCCTCTCTCCCTGGGAGCCCATCCCTGTCCCCTGCAGCTGAAAAAGATCCTCAGAGGCTGTCTGATTTTCAGAGGTCCCCGTGTCTGTGTCCACAGTCATGCCTCACCCCCAGCGCTTCAGCGGGGAGAGCGTCGTGTCCTGGAGCGACTTGGACATCACCATCTCTGTGCCCTGGTACCTGGGCCTCATGTTCCGGACCAGGAAGGAGGACGGCGTGCTGATGGAGGCCACAGCAGGCGTGTCATCCAGGCTCCATCTCCAGGTGAGCGAGAACCACGTCCCACCCTGGGCACCTGCGGGGCAGGTGTGTGCCTGAGTGATGTAACCAGAGCCCTCGGGCATCTCAGCCCCAAAAGCACTGGCTTCCCAGTGCACCCATGGAGGGGAACCTCGCCGCTTCACCGCCCTCCTCTCCATGCCAGTCTAGTGGGTTCTCTGGGGTGAAGAAGAAAGGGAACATGAGCGTGCAGGGAACACGAGCGTGCTTCCCGAGCAGCAGCACAATCGCGCCATTCATAACAGGGAAAAGTGCGGGGAAGGCAGCCTGCAGCTCTGGATTCCCTCGGGGGGTTCGTTTCCATCCTTTTCTTTCTTCCTTTATGCCTGAGAAGGAGTAACAGCGAGGCTGGGGGGACCCAGTGGCCCAGCTCCTTGGCAGCGAAACTCAGCCGAGGGCTGCTGTAGACGGCAGCTGCGGTCTCCAGGCGATTGAGAGCTAAAGGAGGCCGTGAGCACCTTCAGGTGGAAGTGGCCGGCCTCTGTCGGTTGTGGTTGAGAGTGCTCTTGCCTGCTGTTGTTTCTAGGAGGTGGAACCCAGCTAGAAGTTTCCAAAAAGTCTTCCTAAAAATTGAATCACCTTACACATGGTGCTCTTAATCGCTTTGGTCTTTACTGTTTTGTTTATTGAAAACATTGGATAATTGGCAGCGTGCCTAAAACCTTTTAAAAGATTATTTTAATGCACTCTCTTCCCTAGTTTTTTGGTCACAAATAGTTCCCCTTGCATCTTCCCAGCTCTGTAGGTATTTCACAAGGGAACAATAAGTTACTTTAATTTCTGAAACGCGCCAGGCTGCCCCCTCTGCCTCCAGCTGTCTCTACCGGAGGCGAGGGGGCAGTTCTCGCCCTCGACTGGGGTGTTGAGATATTTGAGAGTCCGGGAGACTCTGCTTTATGGGCAGCTGCAGGGACCTTCGGGTGCGGGTGGCAGGCTCGCCCGGCCAGGCCTGGGCTAAGCGCTCCTCCTGCCCTCACGTCTCCAGGTGCTTCCTGTCTGCAGTGACAGCAGGAACAGAATGTTCTGATGTAAACCCTGCTACCTCTGACCCAAGTCTGAGCAGGGATCACACAGGCAGCTGTCCCTCCTGGAAGGTCTACTTTATGACTCTTCTTAGACCTGATTGGCGGTGGCCTGGGGGGATCGTGCCCGAGCAGGGTGCTACATAACCACCTCGTTCTTCCCTATCTTTTTTCCAGACTTTCCTCCAAGTATGTATACGTGTGTGTGCATGTCTGTGTACATGTGTGTGTCTGTGTGCATATGTGTATCTGTGCATGTGTGTGTCTGTGTGCGCATGTCTGTGCACACGTGAATGTGCTGGACCTGGGCACGCTGGCTCAGCGAGCAGCGCCGACCTCCTTCACATGGGTCATTCATTATCTTCACTCTGAGTGAGCCTGAGGGCTCTCCCTCCTCCATCCATTCAGCGCATGGAGTTTCTGCCCCTAGACCAGCCTACTCGTGCCTCAGTCCCAGGCCACACCTGAACACACCGCTGTCATCCCTGGACAGCCTACTGCAGGTGTAATGGCCCCCACAGTCAGGAACTTCCTCCCGGAGTAGCTGTGGTCCCCTCTGCTGTAGTCCTCATGTGCTCACCTAGCTGTGCATCATTTCTCTTCACTCTCTTGGGTCCTGGGACTTCTTATTCTGCCCAGTGTGGAGCGGACTTAATTCCCAGACAGGGCAGACTGTGCTGGGGTCAGAGACGGTCGGAGGTGAGATGGACCTCACGGAGCATCGGCTCCAATCTCTCATTTTTGCATGGGGGAATCTGAGGCCTAGAGACTCTGACCTTCAGGTCCCATGGTTCACTCGTCGCCCACCTGCAATGCCCACAGGACCTTCTCACATTGCCCCTGTGGGCCGTCCATCTGGAAACATTTCTGTGTGGCAGGGGCAGAGGGAGAGGCCAGAGGTGCTTCCCATCGTCTCCTGTGAGCTCCCTGTGGGAGGTCAGAGGGGGCAGGGCCCCGAGGGCTCCCGGTGGGCTGGCGGGCCCCAGACTTGTCAACAGATGAATTAGGACAGGGCCCCAAGAAGGCTGTGAATAACCCTGTCCGGGCCGGGTGCTGGGAGCTCAGAGCCCCGACAGAAGCCCCCCTCTCTTCTTCCACCGGCCCCTCACCCGCATCCTTGCTCAGGAGTGTTTTCCGGCGCAGGCCCATTCAGATCGTACTGAAGATGCAGTTTGTGCATCCGAGATAATTACAGCTGTCATTGTTTTCCCCTTATTAACTCGTAGTTTCATAATTTCACCAGGCAGTCCCAGGAGCTAGCTCTGGGCCAAAACTTGGCAAGTGCAGTTCTGCCCGGGGATGGTATTTTGCTCTGTGGTTGTTTCACTGTTGGAACAAATTAAATTGGCTGTTTTCGATTCAGGTGATGAATTAGGGCTTGCAAGTTGTCGTTTGGCACTGGGGTCTCGGTAGGAAAAAAGCATGAAACAATGCTGAAATCCACAAACTCCCGTATTGTTTGAGTAATTACGTTATGGGTAGCTAATCCAAAGATCAAGGGTTTTTGGCAGGCACTGTGGCAGCCCCTCCCTGTGGAAGGCTGGGTGGCAAGAGTGGTGACCTTGGGGTGATCCTCCAGACCCTAGTGGCCGGCCACCCAGAAGGCCGCCCTGGGGCAGTTCCCAAAGGCTGTTCAGCCGGGCATTGCAGGAGTATTCTGGGCCATTTACACGTGACGTGTCTGGAACGGAGCCTCCTGCGGGCCCGGGAGCTCTGTGGGACAGCAGTTCAGGTGTTCCCTCGCTTCCATGGCCAGCCAGACAAGCTACGTAGTCATCCTGCAGCCCAAACAATCTGGGTAATTGCTCTCAGGCGCCCGAAATCCGCCTGCATTGTCAAGTGGGATAACCTCATTATTGTCGAATGCCTCTCTTACGTACGTCTGGGGACAGACCTAAGGTGCTCGTGGTCCTGGGGTTCATTCTACCGGCATCGCTTTTGTTTATAGACATACGTCAATTTTATTGTTGATCTGCTGGCTTTGGGGTTTTGTTAGCAAGGACACTGAAAGAATGGACAGGGAAATTAATGAGTTGACGTAAACGTCTGTGGAACAAAAGGAAACAAAGTGTAAAAAAGATGAAAAATTATCCTCCCCAATTGATTATTGTTGAGACTGAAAATCAAAATACATTATTGAGCGCATTATCTTTATAACCAGTTAAAAAATATTTTCTATTTTCCATCATAATTTCTTCTTTGATCCATAGGGTATTTACAGGTATATTTCTGAATTAGCAAACAGGTGGCATTTGCTAGTAAATCATTTTGTTGTTTCTAGCATAATTGCAGGTCAGAGAACGTATGCTGTATGATTTCAGGCCTTTGAAATGTGTTGAGACTTGCTTTACAGCTCAGCATTTAGCGATTTTTGTGAATGTTTCACCCATCCTTGAAAAGAACGTGTGCTCTGCAGTTGTGTTCTCTAGTGTTCTATATATGTTGAGAAGGTGAAGTTTGTTAATTGGCATTCAAATCTTCTATATTGTTATTGATTTTGGTTTTTGTCTGTTTCCTCAGTTACTGAGAGAAGTGAGTTAAAAATCTCCAACCTTGATTGTGGATTTATCTCTTAGTCATTTTAGTTCTGTCAGTTTTTGCTTTGTAGATTTTGAGGCTGTGTTATTCGGCGCATACAAATTTAGAATTGTTTTATCTTCCTGGAAAATTGACTCTGTTTTCATTATGAAAATCCTCTTCATCTCTAGTAATTTTTGCTTTAAAGTCTACTATGTCTCTATTAATATAGCTACACCAGCTTTCTTTCTTTTTTTTTTTTTTGTGAGGAAGATTAGCCCTGAGCTAATATCTGTTGCCAATCCTCCTCTTTTTGCTGAGGAAGACTGGCCCTGGGCTAACATCTGTGCCCATCTTCCTCCACTTTATATGGGACGCTGCCACAGCATGGCTTGACAAGCAGTGCGTCGGTGCGTGCCCGGGATCCGAACCTCGAACCCCAGGACACCGAAGGGGAGCGCACGCGCTTAACTGCTATGCCACCTGGCCGGCCCCTACACCAACTTTCTTTTGGTTGGTGTTTATTAGATGTATCTTTTTCTATCCTTTTATTTTCAACCTTTCTGTATGCTTATATTTTAGGTGTGTCTCTTTTAAGCAGTCCACTATAGTTGTTTTATTTTTTAATCTACTCTGTCTTTTAATTGAAGTTATCTTTAAACATGAGTATCTTAGTTTAGTTATAATGCTACTTTTTTATCTTTCTTACATGTGTTTGAACATGGTAGCTTAAATCTTATCTCATGAAATGTAGCATTTACCTCCAGAAGTAAGCATCTAGTGGTTGCCTGAATCTGTTTTCTTGAAAGTTCTGTGGTTCCCATTATTATTCTCAAGTCTGTGTCTAATGATTTTATTGTCTGGATTCCCATGAGTCTGTCTCCACTGTTTCTTCTCTTGGTTTTCAAGCATACTTCTTGTTTCCTCGGGTACTTGGTTATTTTTGATCGAGTGCTGGGCATTGTATTGAAGAATAAGAGAGAATTTGAAACTAGGATGGTGATGTCACTATCCCCCACGTTTGCTTGTGGTTGGCAGCCCCCACCCTGGGCAGGCTCTGAATTCTAGTTACTGTCCTCCCATCCCCATGAGCCTAGAAAGCTCTGTTCAGCTTTCAGCCTCAGCTGTGTCTTCCAGAACCAGCTGATGACAGCAGAGCAAGGCAAACACCAAAATTATTTTCAGATTCCCATTTTTCCCTGGTTATGGCTCTGTACCTCTACAATGACTTGAGTCACTCTGATACCTTCAGACAGGCATACTTTAATATTTTGTCTCATTTTTCTAGGTGTGCTCAGGAGGAGGGTTGGTCCAAGCTGCCTAGTCCTCCATTAGGGGAAATAAGACCTTGGCGTTGCCCTTGACTACGTTTTCTTAAAACATGAACGTCTTAGGCCAGTTACAATGCTGGTTTCTGAGTTTTGTACATATATTTAAATGTCGTGGCCTGAATCTCATCTCATAAAGTGTAACATTTATGTGCAAAATAAGAGCCCACTAGTCACCTGAAACTGTGCTTGTTCCCAGTACTTATCTAATAGGCTTCATCTTACTTGACCTGTGTCAACATTTGATGCTTCTTACCATAGAAAAAGGCGTGTAATTCTAAAGAGACTTACTTCCAACAACACCAAATTAAACTTTGCCTAATTTGTGAGTCTATCCTTGATGCAATGCCCTGCAGTAAGTCTGTTTGTATGGCTTTATTATTTAAGTGACTGCAAAGTATTTTCTATTTTGTCATCATCACATCAATCGGTAGGTGTGGCTCTCCCTGTCCTGCAGATCCTGAACAACTACGTTCAGTTTGAGGTGTCCCATGGCCCCTCGGACGTGGCATCCATGAAGCTGTCCAGGTCACGTGTGACTGATGGGGAGTGGCACCACCTGCTGATAGAATTGAAGAGCGCCAAGGAGGGCAAAGACATCAAGTACCTGGCGGTCATGACCTTGGACTATGGGATGGACCAGGTGAGTTGGCACCTGCACCCTCTTTGGGACAGACCCCTTCATCAGGCCCGTGGGAAACAGAGGGACCCCTCCATGTGCCAGGACCCACCAGAGCTCTTGTGGATTTGGGGATGCATGTTCCAGGCCCCCCTGAATTTGGGTCCCACATTCCCCTTATGCTGAGGTCACTGGTGTCTGCCCTCATCCCCCTTCTAGATGGTCAGCTCCTGGCATCAGGAACTGGACCTTGTCCACCTGTGTGTCTCATCATGGTGCACTGGCACCTTTAGCAGAGGTTTCTTTCAGCAAAGCTGTCTTGAGCAATAACTGTGTGCTCAGCGCCAAACCTCTGGGGTAGAAAGAGGAATCACGCATGGGTTCTTGCCCTCAGAGTGCATGGTGCGTGAAGGTGGGTGAGCAATGAGACCCAGGTACCAGAGGGGACCGTGGGACACCAGAGAGGTGCGTCCGTCCAGATGGGCAGGTGGTGTTCCAGGAGGGTACGCTCAGAGAACACTTGCTGGACCACACTGGGTTTCCATGGTTTGCAGCCGGTAACAAGAGGCATTTTTACGGGACGTCCACACGCTAAGGGGCTACTTGTGACTCTTAAGTGCTCTTGAAGTCTCGACTCGTCTCACACCTGGTTCTGAGAATAAACAGCTGCCATGTTCCACGTGTACGCCTTCCAGGGCCTGAGGGTACAGCCGAGGCTTTATTAGATTCCTGCAACAGTGGACATGTTTTCCATTTGCTGCCATCTCCTAGCTTACCAAGCTCTTTCTCACACAGTGGCTCGTTAGTGGTGCCCATTATGGTGGTGGGAGGGTGGCCCCTGTCCCCCCAGCTAACCATCTTGGCTGGGCTGGGACTCGGACACGTGTCCTCTGACCTGGTTCCTGCGCCCTGCCCATCACCCTCAGTCAGCCGTGTTCTCCACTGAGAAGGCTGAGCCCGGCCGGACCTCTGTTTGGAGGCCCAGGTGTCCTCAGGCTGTGGGGAGCTTGCCAAAGCAGTGACTGCATTTTAGCCTTCGAGCACGTTCTTCTCAGCCAGATGTTTCCAGAATGGTGGATGCAGCCCCCCTCTCCTTGCACAGGACACGGTGCAGATTGGGAACCAGCTTCCGGGGTTGAAGATGAGAAGCATCATCGTGGGGGGCGTTTCTGAAGATAAGGTCTCCGTGCGCCGCGGTTTCCGGGGCTGCATGCAGGTATGGCAGAGCTCGGGGCGCCCACCCCCTCATGGCTGGCTCAGGGGCTGTCAGCGCTGCCATTGGTGCCGTTGGTCGACCTGTTAGTTTTCAGTAACCAAATAATTTGTTTGATAGCCAACCCAACCTTAACAAATCCTATTTCCAACTTAGACCCATCCTCCCCCATGGTTCCCCTCAAGGTCAGGGGCATGCAGGGCCCCTGTGCTGGGCTCTGCCCCACCATCCGCCACCACCGTGCCACGGTCAGCCTCCCGCAGCTCTACCCTCGTGTCATGTCCAGATTTGTCTCTCGCTGCCTCCACCGGCCCCACCCAGTCCACCCCCGTGCTCGCCTGCACAGGTCCCACACGCATCCCGTCGTCCACGCGTCCTAGCAGTGGCCAGAGTGAGCTGCTTATACAGGAGCTCAGCTCACGGCACCTGCTCATGCCCCCCACCTGGGCCTCCCGCTGCAGAGAAGTCAACTCCTTGCTTTCCTTTGCCTTCAACGCCCCTACACCCCCGTGATCTGGCCCGGCCTGTGCTCCGAGCTCCCCTCCCGCGTCTCCGCCATGTTCCGGGCACCCAGGCCTCCTGCCCTGGGACTCACCGGGTGCAGCCCCACTGTGGGGCCTTGCATGGTGGCCCCTGTGCCCAGATGCCCTCTGCACACCCCTTTCTCCACGAGCTGCCTCACCCAGCTTCATCAGAGCCGTGCCCTCCCATTACCCTCGTTTATTTTTCCTTCATGACGCTAACCATGGGATGATTGGGATATGGAATCATTCTGCCTTCATTTCCGAGTGGGCCGTCTCCCCACCTGGAATACAAACCTGATGGAGGCAGAAGTGACCTCTGCTCCTCTCACCCCACCCGTCCCGGCTCTGTAGAAAACTGAAACAAGGGACCCGAGAGAACTTGGAGTTCTCTTAACTGCCAGTTACCTTTCGGGCTTCCTCCCGCCCCAAAGCCCCGGCACCAAGGCCAGCTGCCCTTTTGTAACACAGGGAGTGAGGATGGGGGAGACGTCCACCAACATCGCCACGCTGAACATGAACGACGCCCTCAAGGTCAGGGTGGAGGACGGCTGTGACGTGGAGGACCCGTGCGCCTCCAGCCCCTGCCCTCAGCACAGCCACTGCCGCAACGCCTGGGACGGCTACTCCTGCGTCTGCGACAAAGGTGGGGCCCCGGCGCCCACGCCCCCTCTTTCCTGATGCCTGTCAGCAGAGGGCGACGCCTTTGGTGTTTGAAATACACTGAAGAAAGCTAAGTTGGGGCATCGCCTCCCCCGTCCACTCTCTGGGGGTCTGTGGAGCCCTGGGCTTTGTGACCAAGGAGTGGGCCCTCTCCTCTTAAGATGCATTCCCACGTCTCTCCTTCACTTGGGGCAGAGGGGCACCCCAGGCTTTATCCTTGGGGCACGTGATGACAGGAGGGAAAGAATTAGTGAAAAGTACACATTTTACAAGATTCAGTGGTCACCTCTGAATTTTGAGGTGCGGCGACCATGCTCAGCTGGTACCCGCACCAAGTGTGCTGGGGTGGCCGGGACCCCTACCCTCCAGCTCCCACCCTCCTGGAACAGCCTGGGAGACCCCCATCTCTGCACTCCCAAGTCTGATCCACCGCATGGCTGTTTCCCGTGACTCCGCGGTGCCCTGGCCTCTTCACTCCGCCGGGTAGCGTGGAAAGTGAGTCTCAGGGCAGCCAGCTTGCTCGAGACGTCTTCACCCAGAGGGTCAGGCCCCAGAAGGTGGACCTGCGGTGCTGGAGGTTCTGGGGTGGGGGTGACGCTGGCCTGTCCCCACAGGGTACTTTGGAAGGAGGTGTGTGGACGTGTGTCACCTGAACCCCTGCGAGCACGTCGCGGCCTGCGTGCGCAACCCCGGCTCTCCGCGGGGCTACGTGTGTGAGTGCGGGCCCAGCCACTACGGGCAGTACTGTGAGAACAAGTAAGGGCACGCCCCAGGACGCCGCCGCCCTGAGTCCGCGCGGCTGCTGCTCCCCCGACGTATTTTCTCCTCTTTGTTATTTAACCCGAAAACACATATAATTCTGCATAACAAGGACAGATTTTACTTTTTTTCCAAATTTGACATGAAACAAATGAGAATCAAACTGAGCGTCTCAAACTAACCCCATTTGAGCAAGTTTCCACTCCACAAACAGACAATGCCACTCATTCATCTAGAACCCACTGTGCATGGGTCAGGCAGGCGCTCAGACACGGGAAGAGGAGTGTAGTTACAGAAACACTTTATCCTTCGAGTCAGGGGTTTGGGGTGGTGTCTGACATGCGAGTAAAGCCTAGTGTAGTTACTACAGGCCCAGGTGTGTAGTCTTCACAGGTCAGTCACTTTCTCCCAGGAGGGGCCACTTGCTTCTCCACAAACCAAGACTCTGGCCCCTTCAGAGGTGATACAGTCACGGCTGGTGGTCCTCGGCCTGTGCCGGCCATCCCGGTGCTGGAGCCACGTAGGCACCAGCCTGCTCCTACTGGCAGGGATGCCTCCCTCTGCTCCTTGTCCGTTGGGGACCAGAATATGAACAAGACACGGCCCGAGCTCTCAGTGATCTCATGGGAAGACAAGTACCAGACGGCCTGCTGGATGACGATGGGATGGGAGCCAGAGCCAGGGAGGCTGAAGGGAGAGAGAATTCCAGGGGGAAACCAGTGGGGCAGAGCCGGAGAGCAGCAGTGGGATGAGGCCGGATTAAAGAGCTTAGCGGGTCTGTCCCGGGGCAGAGCCAGACGCGTGCTGTCACGGGTGTGTCCTGCGCTGGGAAGGCAGACAGGCCTGGGAGGGGGGCCTGCCCTGCAAGCAGCAACAGAGCTCGGCTTTGTGGGGGCCATGGGGCCCAGCAGAAAAGTGGGAGGATGAGGTCTGGGTCTCAGAGGCCCGCAGCTCCTGCCTGGAGTACGGTTGAAGCAGGCAGAAACCAGAGGCAGGGAACCAGCTAGAAGGCTGGTGTTGCAGGCACTGCAGGGCTGAGGAGGCAGTGAGCAGGAGGGGTATGCCAAGGCTCTGTGGTCCTCCCACTGTAAATGCAGATCCGTAAACACCAGGCTGGAGCTTCCGGGCTCAGGAACCCTGCCCTGGTCGTTTTTATGCCCCTGCTGTGTACACAGTCGGTACTTAATAATTGCTTATCAGGTGGGCGTGTGAGGTTGACCACTGGGTGGGTGGGCAGATGGAGTGCCATTAGCCAGGATAGTAAACACAGGGCGACACTTTGTTTTGAGGAGCCTGAAAGATGCTTGGGGGGCATCCTGTAGGCAGGCAGGTCTGCAGGTGACATTCAGGTGAGCGGTCAGGTCGGGAGGGGAGGTAGGGGACAGTGACAATGACTTGGAGGGGTGGGCCAGGCCTTGTCACCTTCGACAGCGCTCATCTCAGGTATGCTGCCTTATGAGGCAGGACTGGGCGGGTCTGACGATTCTGAGCCCACCGGGTCCAGCCCGTGGCCGCACCGACCTGACTGAGGTATACGTTGCATCTGTGGAAAGGCTGCTCTGAGCGGCTGTGGGGATGTGGCCAGTGTTCAACCTAGGGAGCTGGGGAACCATGGATGCTCCAGATTCCTTTGTTCAGGATCCTCAAGCTGGCAGATGCCCCGGGTCCCGGGAGAAGGTTGCCCGGGGCAGCTGGGCTTAGTTTGGAGTCATGAAGACCTCAGTCGTCACTGAGCCCCCGTGAGCCAGGTGTCACTGGGTGGGTGCAGGGCAGAATGAATGTGGTGATGTCGTGCTGGCAGGAAGCCGGATTGGGCTCTCACCTGTGTCTTCCAAGTAGAAGAAAAAAGTGAGCAAACAAATTATTTAAAAAATAACAACTTTGTAGGTAGAACCAACATGGGGCCCCTGAGGGCTGGGAGCAGGATTCGAAATTCTAAGGGTCAGCAGGGGGAAACTGAGGCCCCTCGAGCCTTGTCTGGTGCCCAGAGCCAGGCCAGCCAAGGCTGCAGGCCTCCAAGAGGCTTCCTCTGGTTCTGAGAAGGACGGTTATGTACACCTTCCATCCTCCATCCTTTTTTACCCGACAGGATCGACCTTCCGTGCCCCAAAGGCTGGTGGGGGAACCCTGTGTGCGGACCTTGCCACTGTGCTGTGGGCAAAGGCTTCGACCCCGACTGCAACAAGACCAATGGGCAGTGCCAGTGCAAGGTGAGGCCCAGGCTGTGGGTGGATGGCCAGACACGTCCCCCAGCCCACCACGGGGCCGAGCCCAGGGAGAGGGCCAAGCGTGCATGTGCACACACACGCATACCTACACATGCATAAACACACATAGCTACACACACATCTACCTGGACACATTTACATGCGCGTGGGTCTGGAGCCCAGGGAAATCACAGTGCGTGTGCCCGCGCACACACACATTTATGTACAAATGTAGTTTTAGATTTTTTGCTGCCCACTGCTGTACTGTGAGTACACCAGGACTGGTTTCCACCTGTGAGCTGGTTTAGACCATGGGAACTAGGACCCTCAGCGCCACACCCAGCTGGTAACAGGAAACAGCAATTTCTGTGAGGTCAACTCATCCTCAGCACCAACCACAGTTCTCCTACTTGGCCATTTCCCTCATCTTTTATCATACCCACACTCAATGATGACCAAAATTTTAAAAATATGAAAAGCTTAGCCCCCACCCCACCGTGGGACTCTGTCATTCACGTGCACAGCACAGGGCTCTCCTTCTCGTGGTCTCTGAACGTGCCTCTGTTCTCGGCCCAAATCATATGAAAACCCGGTCCCCTCAGCCTCCTGGAAAATGTCACGTACCTTCAGAATCGTTGTGTCAACTGCCTTTGAGCTGTCAGTAACTTGAAACCCAAAGGGAAGTTCTGTTGGTAACCGCAGCCGCTTGGCGAGGGCCACACACTGTCACGCAGATGGGCTTGCTGACCCAGGAAGGGAGACTGCCGTCACGGGTGCCCTCTGACCCTCCCCGGCGGTCTGCTTAGCGTCAGTAATGTCCCAGGTGCCCCACAGTGCCTCTGGAAACGGACCGTGACTTGTCTCTTGAAATGCTTAAATGAAAAATCATAACGGCCGTAGCAGATCAGGACCGGGAAAGCCACGTGGAGTGAGTTGGCTGTTGTGGCGTCCGTGGGTGGCAAAGTGGGAGGAAAGTGGGGAGGGTATTTGGGGAAAATGTATCTAGAATTTTTTTCTCATCGAAAATTATAGAAAGCGCAGAAAGGAATTTGAAAGGTGACGGTGACGCCCATCCCCCCTCCCAGGGTGACTGCTAATGTCGTGCCCCCTCCCAAGCACTAAACATGCATGGTTGGAGCCCCCGTGGGGACACTTCTGCGTCCCTGCCCGGCACGGAAGCCTGGACGCAGCTCTGCCCAAGTCACAGCCCGTCCCAGTTTTCAGTGGGGTGCGCTTGGACCTGGGGAGGCCAAGTGGCCTGGCAGGGGCAGTGTGGCCCGTGAACGGCCCAGCTGGGTGTAAACCAGGACTGTCCGAATCGGAAGGTCACGCTCTTGACCATCACCCTGACCTGCCCACGGTAGATGTTCAGGCTTCTAATTTCTCACGATTAAAAAAAAAAGGGCTCCTGGGGCCGGCCCCGTGGCTTGGTGGTTAAGTGAGCGCGCTCCACTGCTGGCGACCCGAGTTCGGATCCCGGGCTCCCACCGGCGCGCTGCTTCTCCGGCCATGCTGAGGCCGCGTCCCACATACAGCAACTAGAAGGATGTGCAGCTATGACACACAACTATCTACTGGGGCTTTGGGGGAAAAAATAAAAAAAAAAAAATTTTAAAAAAAAAAAAAAAAAAAAAAGGGCTCCAAAAACCATCCTCGTACATAGATCTCCATTTGAATCTCTGATCCTCTTTAGGACAAATATGAAGGTGGCCCATAATAAGTGTTTGCTAAGAAATGAAAGAGGGGTGCTTTCTGGAGAAAGAGCCTGCCCCGCTTGGCCTGGTGGGCCCCCGTGATCTGCCCACCCTGGGGACGTGGGTGGAGGGCAGCAGGGAGAAGCCCAGAAGCCGGGCTGGAACCTGGATGCAGGTCAGGAAACATCCCTCCGGGAGCAGAGCCTCTGCCGGCGTCTGAAGGCCCACGTGCTGCTTCTGGGTTTTGCAGGAGAATTACTACAGGCCCCCGGACCAGGATGTCTGCCTGCCGTGTGACTGCTTCCCGCACGGCTCCCACAGCCGCACCTGTGACACCGACACTGGGCAGTGCGCCTGCAAGCCCGGCGTCATTGGCCGCCAGTGCAACCGCTGCGACAACCCTTTTGCTGAGGTCACCATGCTTGGCTGTGAAGGTCCGAGTTGCCCCTTGACCCTCTCCTTCAGGCCACATCGAGGGGACAGGCTGCTGGGCTCGAGTGTGCATGTGTGTGTCTGGGTGTGCGTCACACACTCCTGAGGTTCGGGGAACACTCGGCAGCCTCATGGTCTGAATGTGTCCGCTTGGCCTTAATTAATCTGGCCCTCCAGGAGGGCGTGGGTCGGAGCCTAGGTCACCCCCTGCCATTCTAGCACTGACTGGGGGCAGATGTGAGGGGTGCGGGTCTTGGTGGGGCAGGGCCTCCTTCAGGGAGGAGCCCTCGGAGAGCGCTGCACATTTGCGGGCACAGCCTCGCTCGGCTGAGCAGCCTTCTCTCCTCCGTCCCTCAGTGATCTACAACGGATGTCCCAGGGCATTTGAGGCCGGCATCTGGTGGCCACAGACCAAGTTCGGGCAGCCGGCTGCAGTGCCATGCCCCAAGGGATCTGTGGGTAAGTACCGTGGCCTGTGGCGTCCATTCCAGGCAGAGCAGCGGACAGAGGCACATGGCTTGCGGGAGAGCTGGCCGAGGTGTCGGAACTCACAGATGTTCCGTGTTGAAAGATTTCTTTAGCCAAAGTGTTGGGAGAAAATAAGAAAACTTTTTCCTTAATAGTAAATGACAAAACCTGGAAAGGGCATAATGAAAACACAGAGAGCAAGTGGCAAGGGACTCAGACAGGCTGTGTCACTGTTCGCAGCGTTGGGTTCTCTGTGTGAAATGGGGATGGTGGCTGCGTCCACGCCAGGAGGGGTGTTGGGAGATTCGGTGAGACGATGCACGGGAAGCACGCGGCCCCGAGTCGGATTCGAGGCAGGCCTGCAGTGCACGTGGAAGCGGTTGGTACTCCGCAAACGACTGAGTCGATTTCTTTTTCACGGACTTGCTCAGGGGTTTGCCTATAGTCGCTGGACAGCTCAGGCCGGCTGCGAGGCCGGATTGTCAGCGTCAGGCAGCTTTAGACGCAGCCCCAGGCCTGAGAGGAGAGAGCCTGTGCTGGCTTCACGGCCGTGGCACCTGCCTGGCCCTGGGCCAGCCGAGGGGTGTGTGTCACCCCTGGGGTTCACACCTCACTGAATACCCTGGGTTAAATCCATTCGGATAAACCAGCGTTAATTAACAGTCCGAGGTTCAGGTTTTACGAGTCCGTTCTCTGCTCCTAGGGAACGCGGTCCGACACTGCAGCGGGGAGAAGGGCTGGCTGCCCCCCGAGCTCTTTAACTGCACCACCGTCTCCTTCGTGGAGCTCAAAGCCGTGGTAGGCCCGCGCCTCAGGGACTGCATGCGGACGGGGTTACCGGACGGGGTGGGCTCGAGTCACGGGCCGGGCGTGGCCCGGGAGCATCGGCGCTTACATCCTCTTTCCCTCAGGACCCGGCTCTGCGCCTCGTTCTGGAAACTCAGTCCCCACGTCCGCGTCCTCTGCCCACCCATCTTCCCCCTGCTCCTTGCGTCCTGCTCTCTCACGTCTTCCACTTGGTGTCTTTTTCCGAGGGCTTTGTGGCCTGAGAGACCCTCCTTTCTCGTGCCACAGTGATCAACCAAAGTTCATTTTTGGGTTTCTGGGTTTTTTAAGTTCTTTCCTGACAAGGAAGTTTCCACCGGAAAGTAAGGGATTTCTGAATAAGAGGAAGGATTCAAAGCAATCACGGTGGGTTTGCAGACGTGGTGTTTGCTCCCCTCGTCATTCCAGAACGAGAAGCTGAGCCATAACGAGACGCGGATGGACGGCGACAGGTCCCTGCGGCTGGCCAGGGCGCTGCGGAACGCCACGCGGCACGCGGGCGCGCTGTTCGGCAACGACGTGCGCACGGCCTACCAGCTGCTGGGCCGCATCCTGCAGCACGAGAGCGGCCAGCAGGGCTTCGACCTGGCGGCCACGCGGGACGCCGACTTCCACGAGGTAGGAGGTGGTGGGTGGATAGCCCTCGGGGAAGCCCCGCAGGCCGGGGGACGAGCCGGGAGCTCAGGCGCCCTGCAGGGGCTCAGAGGACGGCCGGGAGCCCTCACTCGGTTGTGACAGCTCCTCGTACCCGGTGTCCTTAGGGCAAAGCGTCACTTTCCACATGTGAGCCGAGGCCAGTGCAGTGACCAGCAGAGCGGAGTGGCAGCATTAGGAGCATTTTGTCCAGGGGACGTGCAGACCACAGTGTTGATGACAGTGGTGGCCGCTAACAGCTGACCACTTCTTACATGCCGGACAGTGTCCCACATGGTTTACGTGAACTAGCCCACTGATTCCCCACACACGTCCTGTGATGTAGAGCAGTTACCACCCATTTTCCAGGTAGGGAAACTGAGGCACAGGGAGCCAAGGGCACACAGCTTGTAAGGGTGGGGCTCCAGAGCCCCCAGTCCCAACCACACACTCCGGGGTCCTGCTTTCAGAAAGACATGCTGTCTCCTACAAGGACCGTCCTGTTTTGTGTTTGTCCAAGTAATGGGCCCCTAAGAAACGTCTGTTTAGAATAATTGGTGAGGAGACGTTTGTAACTGCTCTTGGAGGGGAACAGCGTCACCTTGTGCTTCCTCTTCACTCCTCTCTAGTCCTCCCTATGCACACAGAGCCCCTGCGGGGCCTCCCCATCTGTGCAGAGCCCCTGGGGGGCTTCCCTGTCCATGCAGAGCCCCCAGGGCCTAGGCAGGGCCCCTGCTTGCATTTCAGTCCAGGCCCGAGAGTTTGGGCCGATGGAGTTGTTCCCATTTTCAATTCTTTGCAAACAGAAGTTTCCCCTCCCGGTGCGTGTCTTGGGTTGGGGCCAAGCCCCCGTGGGTGGACGACCTCCCATGTGTGCCCTGCACTGTCCACCTGTTCACATAAACCCCGAGGTGTGCGGGGAGGGAGTGCCACCCACAGAGTGACCCACAGCGTGTCCCCAGGCTGCCTCAACTGCGTGCTCAGCGGTGGGGGCAGCGGTTTACCTGGTGGGGTTGGGGGTTCTCATGTAACCAGGGGCGTCTCCCCTTTGCATCTCGGGGTGCACTTGGTGAACCATCATCAGGGCTTGTCCCTGACACAATGTCTTTGAAGTTGAAACACCAACAGTCTCTTCCCTGCTCTGATCCTGCCCAGCCTGCTCTTGGTCACCTAAAGGTTTCTAGGACCTGGTGTGCCCTGTCACATTAGCCAGGCCCCCATGGGGTGGCCGCGCACGTGAGCTGAGCACCATCTGTCTGTCTGTCTGACCAGGACGTCGTCCGCACGGGCAGCGCCCTCCTGGCTCCGGGCACCAGGGCCGCGTGGGAGCAGATCCAGCGGAACGAGGGTGGCGCCGCGCAGCTGCTGAGGCGCTTCGAGGCCTACTTCAGCAACGTGGCGCGCAACGTGCGGCGGACCTACCTGAGGCCCTTCGTCATCGTCACCGCCAACATGAGTAAGGGCTGCGCGCCAGCGTGGAGGGCAGGGGATGCTCTCTGGGCGGATCCCGGGGCCCATCTGGGATACACCCCAGCTCGGCCATCTCTCAGGATGGGTCACCAGCTCTGCCCTCGTTTCCTTGTCTGTAAAATGGGGAGAACGCAACTCTCCTTGTCCAGCCTGTCAGAGATGATCGGCAGACGCACACGCGTCACTGCCAGGCCCAGGAAATCGGGCACAGGTGCTGGGCAGGGGAGACTAGGAGTCGAGGAGCTGCGGGCATGATCTTGGTGGTCCTTGGGCCTCTCAGGACTTGGGTGTGAGACAGTCTAGGGAAGTGGGTGTGGAGGGTCTGGCCGCAGGTCCAGACTCACGCAGAGAGGCCCAGACCCAAGGAGGGACGTGGGACTGGGTGGCTGGGCACCTGGGCAGTGGGGAACACCCACCCTCCCTGGGCCAGGGGCTGAGCCATCAACAGAGCAAATGCCTGAGGGACCAAGTCACCCGCAGCTCCCAGGAGATGCTTCTCAGGGACAGAGGTTTAAATGGTCGGGTTCCTTCACGGAGAGAAAGCCCCGGAAGGTGGAACCAGCCCCGACCCACCCAGACAGAAAGTCGCTGGGGGCAGGGGCTCCTTGCTTCCTCCTCCTGCACGCGTTTACTAAGCACCCACGTGGGGGGCGCTGGGCAGTACCGAGGGCTTGTCCCTTCCCATGGAGTCGCCCCATGATGGACCCGGTTATCTATCACGGAAAGGACCTGGGTCTTTAACCCGGAGGCAGCGTCCCTGATGTGAACCCTCAGGGGCTGACCCGGGAGGGGCCCTCGATTCCCGACCAGAAGATATTCAGGCTGGTCTGCACATCCCAGGCCCTTCCTGAGCCCCCGATCCCGCCTGCCCTGCGCTGGGGTGGAGGTGGCTTGCCTGGAGCATGCAGGGTGACTGTCAGCCTCTTTGTCATCAGACCCCCCAAGGCAGGGACAGTCAGCAGCAATGGAAAGTCACCCTGACAGCCTCAGACTCGACAGTGTCGGCGAACAAACAGAAATCACGAAGATTTCTGAAGCCCCTTCGATCCGTCTTAGCGCCTGCTCGGGTTCTGTCTCTATGAGACAGAGGGAGAGAGAGAGTTAGGGCTTCTTAGTTCTGTTGCCTCCATCACAATCCATCTCTGCCACCTGGAAGGGATACCAACTGCAGGGAAGTCACATATCCTTGGGCTGGGGCTAGGAGGCGCACACTGCACACCATGCTTGTCTCCTGGGGGCCCCCCCAGCAGACCCGAGCCAGATGGTTCTCGGATGCGACATTCAGTGGTCGAACTTGGCGCCGTGTTTTCTCCCTTCACATGGAGGTTTTCTGCTGGGTAACTGTCAGCAGGTTTAAAGAACACAGAAGAGGAGGAGTAGATTCTGTTATCAAGATCCTTGGTCAGAGACAGTAGTTCTGGGGATGGTTTGAGAGAGCTCCGTGGGAGGAGTTGGGAGTCGTGTGTGATGGAAGTGAACTGTCCCCACAGTTCTTGCTGTCGACGTCTTCGACACGTTTAACTTCACGGGCGCCAGGGTGCCGCGGTTCCAGGACATTCGTGAGGAGTTCCCAAAAGAGCTGGAGTCCTCCGTTGTCTTCTCTGCTGACTTCTTCAAACCACCCGAGAGAAAAGGTAGAGCCTCTTAGAAACCCAGTGCTGCTCGTGGGAGGTCTTGGAGGGTGGGGACCTCTGAAAGGTCCTGGGAGAATAAGCAAGACAGTTCTCCGTAGCAGAGCACATTCTGTGGGGGCACATTGCGTATGCACCCTGAAATCTGGGGGCCGACAGGGGGGTTTGCTGGTGTCAGACCCGAGTGGCAGGGCGGGTCGTTTCTTACAAACGGTTAATTTATAAAGTGACAAACGAGAGAGCCCTTCATTGTGCATGAGCTAGTCTTCCTGGATGTGCAGTAAAAATCTGCTTCTACGTGCAGGGAATACTTTAGAGTCTGGCCCCCACCCCTCTAAACAAACCAACAAACCGGAAGCCGTCTGTGTGCAGTTCCTCAGTCCTCGGTTAGGATTATAATACCAAACGGCTTAAACGTTTTGACTTTTCTCAAAGTGTTTTTCACAGATCCACTCCAGCTACTGAAAACATCTCAAAATAATAGGGACTCGAAAACGTAAAATTCTACAATGGACAATTTAAAATTTGAAATGTTTTTAGTAAATCAATTTTATTTGTTGGTTATATGATACTATTATTCAAGTGTCTCAGAAACTGTTAAAGAGGTCTTGTCTGATGTAGGATCACGCTCGACACTGACCCCGTCTTTCCAGCTGTGTTTGATTTGGGGTAGATTTGGGTTTTCATGTTTGGCAGTGTATTTGGTCGGAACTCTCCTCAGAAGTGCCGTATGTGCATATGTACATAGACTGCTTACTATCTGGGCCTAGAAGTGGGCTCTTTCTCTGAGCTTGTCAGTGTTTCTGCTTCTGAACTGACCACTGGGTCATCCTTTCTCTCGGGCCTGTGACCGTCAGGAGTGGGCACACAGGAGCCAAGTTCGCTTTAGAAAACCCTGTGGAAGAAGCTTCTGGTACCTGCTCCCCTGCTGTCCCGACAGCCACTGGCTGACGCCCAGGTCCCCTCAGCCCTGTACACGCGTTTTACTCACTGTGGCGTTTACGTTCCCTGCTGAAATGTCAGCTAGCACAGACACCACGGAGTAAACCCCCCGATTCTTTCCCTGATGAGAAGACGCGCCCCCGGGCTTCTGTGACCTCCCCTCTCGATTTCCCCAAACCCCTGCCTCGCCCCGAGGCGGGGAAGCAGAGGAAAAGCATCGTAAACTCCGTGAGCCGCAAGCGCGGCTGAGACCCGTGTGGGTGAGCTTTCAGGAGGTAGAGGGGGTGCAGCCTGGGCCCCTCGGCGTCCCACCAGCCGCTTGGATGTCCGTCCTGGACGACCTGCTTCTCCCTCCACCGCCTACAGGATGACCATGTTGGCCCTAGGGCTTGGCTTGGAGGGTGGCCCCTGCCCCCTTTCACCCCCACCTTGGACATCGCCAAGCCGGCACCCTCCACCTCAGACACTCATCTTTCCACCTCGGCCCAAATCCCTCCTCTGCCCTGACTCTCCCAGGCAGGCTCTCATGCCAGCCCCGGCCTCCGGGCCCTAGCCTCCTCATGCCCTGGCCCACCCTTGGCCCAGACGGTGCAACGGTGAGTCTCGCCTGTTCTGCTGGGGTGAGGTGCCCCTGGATGTCCCACCCGAGGGGAGCCTGCCGTGCCCACTCGCCCACTGACTCATTAGTTGGAGACACGACGAGCCAGTAGAGTCATGGAAAAAACTAAGGCCTTAGACTCAGTGATTTGTTTGGAGCCAGGCGCAACACAAGGAAGGGGCAGGCTTGTTCACCGCTGCGAGGTGTGCTCTGGGGTCCTCCAGCTCCTGCGAGGGGCGACCTGGAAGCTGAACCCTCTCCTGCGTCAGAGAAGCCACTAAATGAGAGGCCGCAGGAGCAGACTGTGGGGAACGCTTAGGGGGAACTGAGTCAGTATCTTCCTTTGCTTCCCACTTGATGGGACTTTATAGGAGTGGAGAACTTGTAAATGTACTTGCTGGGCAAGGATAATTACATCCGCCCAAGTCAAGTCGGAGCCCTTGACTGGGTGGCGTCCGGCCCAAGTGGGGGTGGGGGGACCTGGGAGGATCATCTAGCCCAGGGAGCACCTGGGGAGAGCATTGGCCCTGTCACTCAAGAAAGCCCCCAGGCTGCACTGCCTTCCCTCCAGAAAGGAGCTGGGGACCGCTCAGTTAGGTGAGGCATGCCAAAGCAGGTACATGGGTGGTGATGCCCTGCACTGGGCCAGTGAGACACACCAGCTGTGGCCTCCTATACTCACCTTCCAGAACGCCGCTCAGCACAAACCCTGAAAAACAGCAACCCTTGTAGCAATTAGAGCCGCATCCCCGCCTGACCCCAAAGCCAGTGTCCATAACCAAGGTTGTTAACCGACCTGAGTGTGGCTAACCCGTGTCACTAACCAGCCTGAGTGTCTCTAAGCAATATTGTTAAGCAGCCTGAGTGGGGCTAACCAGTGTTGTTAACCAGTCGTTGACCAGCGTGGCCGTGAGCAGGGGTGGGAGGACGTGGAAGGAGTGTGTGCCGTCTCGCAGGGGCGGACACCAGTTGGTCAGAGGGCGTTTTGCTCGGATTGGTTAGTTAGCTCTTCTGAGCCTCGGGCCTTCCAGTGTGCAACGTCCCCATCCAGAGATGACACCCCCGCCCATCGCATCTTACAGCCCCTCCACAGGCTCGTCTCCTGGGCCCTCCCCCTCCCCAGCCACAGTCACCCCTCCAAGACCTCCCTGTCCCTCAGGCTTGCCCCTCCCGCCTCCCTGGAGCCCATGCTCTCCAGCAGCCTGTGCTGGCAGTGGGTGGTCCGGATGGTTCCAGAGGTGCAGCCAGGGGGCATTGTGTCATTTGTGGCTGAGTGTGGCCATGTGTGCCTCCTGCAAGGTTAAGGGAGAAGCAAGGGAGTGTTCCCCTGCTGGTGGGGCGGGCTGAGGGCTGATACCCCCACCTGTGACCCCATGGGCACGCTGACGGGGATTCAGGTTTAAACCGGGGCCTCCAGCATCCATGGTTGCACGCTCCAGTCAGTGGCGAGAAGTTTTAAGCAGGTACCCCCCAAAATATATATATATATTTTTGTTTATGGGATCTATACATGGCCTCTCTTATCCCTATAGCTTGTACAGTTTAAAACACGCCCGTGTTTTATGTGAAATAAAAACACGAGACACAAACCCCCATGAACTCACACTTCCCCCGCATGCTTCTTGAGCAGCCCTGGGGGAGACCCCTGCGTTGGGGGTGGACGTCAGCCGGTCATCACATGACAGCTGTTGCTTTTTGTTTAGTTGTGGTGGAATACGTGTAACGTAAAATTCTCCATCCTAACCGTTTTTGGGTGCGTAGTTCAGCAACATTAAGTACGTGCACATTGTTGTGCAGCCATCACCACCATCCATCTCCAGAACCTTTTCATCTTGCGAAACTGAAACTCTGTCCCCATTAAACACTGACTCCCCATCCCACCTCCCCCAGCTTCTGGTAACCACCATTCTACTTTCTGTCTACGAATCTGACGGGTCCAGGAGCCTTATGTAGGTGGAATCCTACAGTATTTCACTGACTCCTTTCACTTAGCGTGACGTCCTTAAGATTCATCCTTGTTGTAGCGTGTGTCCGTGCTTCCTTCCTTTTTTTTTTTTTTGTGAGGAAGATCAGCCCTGAGCTAACATCCATGCTAATCCTCCTCTTTTTGCTGAGGAAGACTGGCTCTGAGCTAACATCTATTGCCAATCCTCCTCCTCTTTTTTGTTTCCCCAAAGCCCCAGTAGATAGTTGTATGTCATAGTCGCACATCCTTCTAGTTGCTGTATGTGGGACGCGGCCTCAGCATGGCCAGGGAAGTGGTGTGTCAGTGCGCGCCCGGGATCCGAACCTGGACCGCCAGTAGCAGAGCACGCGCACTTAACCGCTAAGCCACTATTCCTTCCTTTTTAAGGCTGAATAGTATCCCATTGTGTGGCTAGACCACCTTTTGTTATCCCTTCTTCCGTTGATGGACACTGGGTTGCTTCCACCTTTTGGCTGTTGTGAGTCATGCTGCTGTGAATGTGGGTATACGGTATCTCTTTGAGTCTCTGCTCTCACTTCTCCAGGGCACATACCCAGAGGTGGGATTGCAGGGTCACTTTTGAGGAACTGCCTGCTGTTTCCCACAGAACATGTGTTGATTTTAGGAAGCACTTGCTCAAGTAGAAGGCAATTTGGTGGGACCCCAGGTGTCCGGCCCCCACGCTCACACTCTATGCTCACATTGCAGAGGGCCCCACGGTGAGGCCGGCAGGTCGCAAGGCCGCCCCGCAGATGGCACGCCCTGAGCCCGGCGCCGAGAGGGAGGCCCCATTCAGGAGGCGGAAGAGGCACCCCCAGGAGCCCGGCCAGTTCGCCGTCGTCCTGGTCATCATCTATCGGACCCTGGGGCAGCTCCTGCCCGAGCACTATGACCCCGACCGCCGCAGCCTCCGGTAAGGCCAGCCCCATGAGGGCATGGAGGGCCTGTTTCTGGAGAGTTCTGAGGCTTTCATAAGTCAAAGTCTCGACCACCCGAACATCGGAATAAGGACATTTCACTGTGACCCTGGCCCAAGGCCAGAGACCAGTGCCCTGGACTAGAATCGCCCTTGGACAGAGATTCTGGATCTGCCGGATGGGCCCTGTCACTTGAGTTTCTGCCAAGAACGCCCCCTCCCAGCACACATCCCGCCTCGAGCCTCGGTGGATACCGTTGACACACCAGGCTCAGGAGTATAATTCCTGCTCAGAGGGTCCGTCCCCCGACACCTGTCTGCCCTGGGCCGCTGGTGGCCCCAGCACTAGGGGCTGCTCGGTGGATACTGGATGGAAAAATGAATCCTACCCAAAGGGGCTTCGTGGCCCTGATCAGAGGCGGGCACACTGCGAGGCTCCACTTTATCAACCTTAATACCATTTCCAGATCCTTCCCTGGGTCTGTCGTCTTCATGTTCATCCTTCCTAGTGGCTGGATGAGATTCCTCCGTGAGCTGTCATTATCCCACTAGGTTTCTTTTATCGGATATTTCAGCCCTTTCCAGGGGTTCTGCTGTTACATATTATGGGGTGCACCATCTCCTCACACATACTTTCTCTTCATTTTTAAGTGAAGTCCGCCTTTGACCCACAGGTGACACGCTCCCTGTGCATGCCCCGTCAGTGATAAAACCTGCATGGAGCACGATGCTGTCACAGCCCAGGCCCTGCCCAAAAGCAGAGGCCTTGGCTCCGCACTCGAGCCCTGTGATTCAGTCCCTCCTAGAGAGACGCCTGTCCTGTGTCCTCCTCGCGGTGGCACCCAGGTGTTTTCTAAGTGCGTTTGTCCCTGTGCTCTCGCTTCTCAACACAGGCTGCCTAACCGGCCCGTCATTAACACCCCGGTGGTGAGCGCGGTGGTGTACAGCGAGGGGGCGCCGCTCCCCAGCCCCCCAGAGAGGCCCGTCCTGGTGGAGTACACCCTGCTGGAGACCGAGGAGCGCACCAAGCCCGTCTGTGTGTTCTGGAACCACTCCATCACGTAAGGGTGACGCGGGAGCCAGAGTGGCCACCTCTTGCCCCTAGGCTGGGCGTTTCCGCGTGGGGGCTGTGCTGAGGCTGGAGCTTGCACGGGTCCCCACGGGTCTCCCTTGGCAGAGTGTCCCCAGGGCATTCTCTTGTGGTCTGTTGCTCCTCTTCCAGCCCCTCGTGGGGCAGGAGGCTCATCCTGCGGTTGTCAGAGTTCCCTATATGTGTGCAGTTACACAGCACATATGCGTGTACACAGACCCACCTGGAAACACAGACACGTATACATGTGCACACACACAGTTATGCACTCATGTGCGCACATGTGCACAGGCACACATAGAGACCTCTGGAGAAGGTCAGCACAGAGAAAAGCCTCCCACCTGCAGGACTCTCATGATGCAGCAGCCGACGAGGGCCCAGCCCACCGCCAAACAAGGAGGGGGACACACAGGAGGTGGGGCTCAGAGACCAGGCCCAGGGGCCCTTCCGCCAACAGCGGGCAGTCCCAGATGTGTGTGGGGGCACCTGCATCAGATGGGGGACCCTGACCTCAGCCGGCCCGCCCAGGAGACAACACAGCAGCTGCTGGGGCTGGTTTTACCCTGCGGAGGCTGCACCCGCCTCGGCAGGGTCCATTCCACCCATCCCCTGATCCCATGCTTGCAGCGGGGGTTGAATGCTGTGCATCTGGGACTTGGTTCCCGTGCAACTCAAACATCCCCTGCAGTCACTCTTCCCTGGACTGAGTTGGGTTCCACTGAGTGGGGCTCTGCTGGGCACTGTGCCGGGTGCTGGCACCCAGGGTGAGGAGGAGAAGCCCGGCCCGCACGGGCCTCCTGCTGGGAGGCAGGTTAGGCTCGGCAGAGACTGTGCGTCACTCTCTCCTCCTTCTGTATGTTCCAAATTCTAGTTAATGAGATGCTGGCATAGTGTCTAGAGTGTAATAGATGCTTGGCATACAAAAGACAGAATGGCAGACCCACTTTCATGCTGAGGGCAGTGTTAAGGCTTTGGTGTGCCTCAGGCATGGCCCTCCTGGTGGTCATTCATTGAATCCTGGCAATTAGCTCTCGCTCTAATTACATCTCTGCTTTCTGTGCACCTGTCATCCCGGGATCTTAAAGTTCTTGGTAAACACGGATTTGCCTTCCCATCCCATTTTACAGATGAGTAAACTGAGGATCAGAGAAGTTACTTGACTTCCCCAGAGTCAGGGAGGCTGACACACACCCATAGCGGCTTGTCATTTGGGGTGTCCCATCAATAGAACGGGAGTAATAATGGGGCCCTGCTTCCAGGCAGTTGCCATAAAACATTTTGCAATCTGAAGATGAAAGTGTAGGACAAATGCGCGATATTATTTCTTAAATCATCTAGACTGAAAAGAAGACAGAAGTACAAAGTGGCTGTTTTAATAACTGACTATTATGGTTTCTGATAAAAGGGGCATGTGGTGGACCCAAGATGTCCCCATTTAAGTTTTACTGCTGGATGACACATAAACGTCAACTTCAGAGGGTGCTCATTAGAGGCTTCACGAGAGGGCGAGGAGGGCGTTCACACGGTCCCAGGTGCAGCCAGCGCCGTGGTCCTCGGAGCCGGGACCGTGGCGCTTGTCTTGGGCACAGTGAGGATGCTGCTCGGGCTCCAGCGGGGGCAGGAGGGCCTCGGAGACCCTGGCGGTGGAGGGAACCATCTCACCCCCGACTTTTCTCTGCAGCCCCAGTGGGACTGGAGGGTGGTCAGCCAAGGGCTGTGAGCTGCTGTCCCGGAACCGGACCCACGTTGCCTGCCAGTGCAGCCACGCCACCAGCTGTGCCGTGCTCATGGACGTCTCCAGACGCGAGGTGGGCGCTCCCCCACGGGCAACCCTGCCCAGCTGGTGAGGGTGTCCAGGGATTAATTCCCTTCGAGATTTAGCCTATCCCCCAAGCCTACCCCCTTGTCAACTCCATCTTTCCTTCTAAGTGATTTGAACAAACTGAATTGACCGATTTAAAATTCGTGTTCGATGAGCATTGGCCAGAATCTGGTAGGATTTCCATAACAAAAGCCCCTTAAAAGGGTTTTCAGAGAGCCCAGGTTGTAAATTAAAAACCGTGATGGCAGACCCGAACCTCAGACTGAAAAGAAACTCCTGGAGTATGCACCTCACTTCTGCGCAGGGTTCTCAGCGGTCTGCTAGATGGTGCTGTTTCTGCCCCACTTTAAACTTTAAGGAAGAAAAGAGACGGCTGGCGGGAACAATGGGAATATCTCCCTTCAGCGCCACACTCTCGGGCCCCACAAGACAAAGGAGGCCAGTCAGGAGGCACCGAGCAGCGGGGCGGCTAATGTTTAACCTCTGGCATTTTCCGCAGCCTGGGACTGCGAGCCGGCCTCTGGGCCCGCGGATGAACGGGCAGTGGGGCCCCAGCAGGGCGCGGCGGTGAGGTCAGCCTGGGCTGGGCGTGTGCAGGACGCTGGTGTCTAGGAGCCAGAAGACAGGCCTGGGGTGACCTCACCCGGCGCCCACTTTTCGGGCCTGGAATGTAGCCCAGGAGGCCAGGCCATGACCCTCCCAAGGGCTCTCTGGCGTTCAGCGGCCTGAGTTTCTGTCGCATTCTTGTGGGGGTGAGTCAGCCATGGGTTGCTGTTGCGGCTGTCGCAGTGACAGGAGGAGAGCTAGGCTGTGGGTGACGTGCCCTCGGGGTGCGCGAGAGTGCCCTCAGGCCTTCCGCCGACAACAGAGCTCTCTTGGGCAGGTGGCCCTGGGTCCTGGCCTGGTGGGAGTTAATTATTAGTGGTCTTTGTCCACGTAGGGGTGGGATTTGGGGGTCGTCTCACGACCAGGAAGCCAGGCAGTGCCACAAGCAGAATCACGGGTGGAAGAAGCCGCAATTCAGGTGGAAGAAATGAAACCGGAGCAGGGATCAAAGACTGCCAGCCCTGGTGCCTCAAATCCAGAGGTCCCTGAATAGCCCCCAGCCATGGGGAAGTCGGGCTGAGGCTGCAGGCTTCCAGCCCCCTGCAGCAGGACTGCAGCCTCCGGGTGGACCCCCGAGAGCCCGCACTCGAAGGAGCTACAGAAGGAGATCTCTGAGCACTCCGTCCTCCCACCCCCACCCAGGCCCGGCTCCCCATGCTCCCCTGAGTAGCCCCGGCCCAAAATTCCGTGTGAGTTCTGAATAGCACTTTCCGGACATTACCGGGGAGCCAGAGCTGCTTGTTGTCCAGATGCCAGAACTCTGCAGGTCGCTGGGTCCTGGACAAGTGCCATATTTTGCAAAAGCACAGGGGACAATTGCAGTCCCCTGCAGCTGCGACCATCAGCCTCTTGTGTGAACTGCGAGTCTGTTTGGAAGGCCTCTCCCAGCTCAGAATTTTGGGTGGACAGGCTCAGCATCTCCTGGACAGCAGGATTTATGTGTGAGGTTTTTTGTTTTTTTATTACAGCAAAATATACAGAACATAAAATTCACCATCTCAACCACGTGCATGTACCGCTCAGGGGCATGAAGTCCGTTCCCATTGTTGTGCAGCCATCGCCACCATCCAGCTCCAGAACGTCTTTTCATCATCCCACACTGTGCATTTGGTTTTTGTTCTTGGTTTCTGCCATCCAGAGGACCATGTCGTCGTCACGTGGGTTCCTCCCCGTGATAGTCGTTAATGTGTCTTTATTGTGCAAAAGCCCCCTCAGAGCCACAGCCCTGACATTCTGCTTTTAACCACCCCGCCCGCAGCATGGAGAGGTCCTGCCCCTGAAGATCATCACCTACGCTGCCGTGTCCTTGTCACTGGCTGCCCTGCTGGTGGCCTTCGTCCTCCTGGCACTGGTGCGGACGCTGCATTCCAACCTGCACAGCATCCACAAAAACCTCACGGGGGCGCTCTTCTTCTCCCAGCTGGTCTTCGTCATCGGGATCACACAGACGGAAAACCCGGTGAGGCCCCTCTGCTCCCCGGCCTCGGGCCCACATGTGCAGCTGCACGGATGCCGGCGCGGAGGGCCCGAGCTTTCTCGTTTGCTGAAACAGTGGAGGGGGTCTCTCCTTTCTAAGGGGCTGGGCGGGCGTTCACTGCTCTTTCAGTGTGGTGGGTGCAGCAGGGAATCTCATGGGAAGTTGGGGACCCCGGCCCAAGTCCGGGGGCTTGTTGCTTTGTGTTGGGCGGGAATCTCCCTCCAAGGGTGTGCGTGGGAGCCACGTCACAAAGGCCGGGGGCTCCACATGCGTCAATTGTTACTTTCCTGATGTAGACACTAGTGATTTCATCAGAAATTACAGTCATTTGCCAAACCCCAGCGTCCTGCGAGCTGTGACTTGAACTTCTGTGGCCTGAAGACACGCGATGCATGTTGTTAACGAGCGTCCCTGTCGGGCGGCATCTCCCACCCACCCCTGAACTTTCTGAGGGGTCACGGCTGAATTTTCTGTGGAAGCCCATGTGCTTCCCCAGAGAGGGAGAGAGACGTCTAGAACGGCCCAGAACTCAGTGAGGTGGTGTTGGCGGGTAGAGAGGGTTGACGAAGAGACAGCAGCTTGCTGAGAGAATAGATGGAGGAGAAGCAGACGGGAGAGAGGAAGGTGGGCGAGCTCCGATGTGATCTGGTTAGATATAGGGGCGTCTTGCTCAAGCCACCCCAGTTATGTGGACTCCTGGGGTGTCGTGTGCTCCTGGGGTGTCATGTATGCTCCTGGGGTGTCACGTGTGCTCCTGTTTTGTCATGTGTGCTCATGGGGTGTTGCATAGGCTCATGGTAATTATCACTGGGTGATTAGATTATATACGGGGTATGATGGACCTCACAGAAAAATCTAAACCAATCTACAGACACATTATGAGAAATAATTGGAGAGTTTAGCAAGGTAGCTGGCTATTACTGGAGAAATATATGTAAAATCAGTTGCATTCCTGTGCACCAGCCACAAAGTGGCTTTAAAGATTTTATTTATTTTATTTTTCCCCCCAAAGCCCCAGTGGATAGTTGTGTGTTGTAGCTGCACATCCTTCTAGTTGCTGTATGTGGGACTCGGCCTCAGGATGAACGGAGAAGTGGTGCCTCGATGCGCACCCGGGATCCGAACCCGGGCCACCAGCATCGCAGCGCGCGCACTTAACCACCAAGCCACAGGGCCGGCCCCCACAAAGTGGCTTTAAAATGTAATTTACAAAGGAGCGAGTAGCAGTGACTGTGGTGGAGACCTCGGAGAGACGCCTTTTGAGTCTGGCTGTGAGGGAGGAGAGGAGGAGATACTGGCTGCAGCTGGAGGCGGAGCTGGGGCTGGTGGAGCTCGTGGGATGTGAGAGATCTGAGCTGCGTCATGTCAAGGGGAGGGAGGGAGGGCTGGGTGTGGGTGAGGACCCTGGGGAGGGGGACCAGCTTTGGACGGGGAGGCGGCAGCACTGTTGAGATCATGGGGACAGAAAAGCAAGAGGAAGGAGGAGGAGGAAGGTTTGTGACTTTGGCAGCCTCTGGCTGGTTGCAAATGATTTTCCATTTTTACAAAGGGGGTTTTCAAAATACAAGGGTCACAGCACACGATGGGGGTGCAGGGGGAGGTGCAGGGTCTGTGCTCGAGACTTTACATACATGCCTCGTATGTAATTGATACATCCCTGGGGCCCAGGATGGGGTAGCATCGCTTCTTACAGGTGAGAGAGCTGGGGGCCAGCGATGTTGAGTGACCCGCCCAAGGGCACACAGTTCTCTTCATGTGTGTTAGTTCATGTGTCCATCACTAAATGGTGACCCTAATAGCCCTGGGGAGATGTGAGGCCAGCTGACCATCACACATGATTATGTTGTGACTCCGGGAAGTTCAGAGGTTACTCTCAACTAATCCTGATGTCCCCCAATGTGAGCGATGGGCCGTCACTCTCTCAGTGGGCCGTTCCCATACCGCTGCCCCGTACTGTTGACATAGCTGTCATTTCTTCATTCCTCATGTAGTGAGGACTATTAATTGTCACTGTATTAAGCCTACCAAAGACCCAGATCCGAGAAGCCCTCCCATCCCTGCCCATGGAGCCCACATTCCAGACACAGATCTGGATGATGGTACATGATTGTCAGGTGCCCACTTGACGCCACGGTGGCGGGTCGGGGAGCTGTGCCTGGTCAGGGAAGGGCTGAACAAGACCGTCCATTTGCTGTTCAACAGGAGAGTCCAGAATAAGTTGGGGACAGGTTGGGGATCTGGTCATCCAGAGCCCCAGGGGCTGTGCCAAGCAGTGCCATCTTTTGCAAGCAGCGTTGCACCATGGAGAGTCATGACTGGGTCTGCATTTTAGGAAGACCACCCTGGCAACAAGGGGAAGATGGGTGGAGGAGACTGGAGGTCAGAAAAGCAGCCAGGAGGCTATTGTCAGAGGTCTGGAGGTGGAGTCGGGGCCCAGAACTGAGGCCAGGACAGTGGGCATTGGGGGAGGGGCAGGAGTCAGGGCCCACCGTGCATGGAGGGCAGGCGGAGGAAGGACTGGGGATGCCTCAGGTCTCCAGAAGGGGGCGAGTAGGTGAGGACGCCACTGGATGAGATGAGAACTCAGACAGAGCAGCAAGTCTGGGCGAGGCTGGACATACTAGTGGGGGGGCTGAGGAACATGCGATGGGGAGGCATCGCCTGGCGTGAAGAGGAAGTGTGTCTGTGGGAACGAACAGGTCCTAGGACTAAATAAAAAGACAAAGATGGAATATTCTGGCCAGCTGGTCGAGGCCACTTGCCTCCTTGAGCTCTTCTTCCTCTTCTCAGGAGGACAGACCCATACGTGCTTGTCGGACGAGCAAGGGCAAATCTTGCGGCCCTCCAGGGGCTCTGTAAGGCAGGGCACTGGGCTGGCGTCGGCCGGGTGAGGAGTCCTCCCCCGTGGTCCTGCTGCAGCGGTTCCTCTGCACCCGGCCAGGCGGGTCAGGCGCACCTCTGCCTGTGTGCACGGCCTTATCAGTGCATCAGACGGGTGACGGCTCTAGGGGTGGAAGCTGCTTGACTCATTTCACAGCCGTTCCCGTGTGCCTTTGAGTGGTCTCCAGAAAGGGGAGTCGAGTTGGTGGCAAGCCACTCCTTGCAACTAAACAACACGTGGGAAATGCAGAGAGGCTGTCCGATCGTTTCAAGCGCCGACTCCTGTGCTACCTGGAATGAGAGCTTTCCAGCCAGCCACGCTCCGGTGAGCACGAAGAAGAGAAGGAATGCTGCAGCCATAATTCTAGGGGCTTGGCAGTGCACCTGGTCTTTATGGGTTTTCTGGAAACTCACAATCCTATCTCTGGGCGAGGTTTTTCATCTCCCAGATTACTGGCAGGCTGAAATGATTTATGATGCATTAGTGTTTTGTCTTTGTTCTGTTTCTGGGAAAGTTAGTCCATTTAGTGCAGAAGTCTGTGCATGTATGGCCCCATAATGTTTCAAAATGTCGTATTTCTAGGGCTGCTTTTTTTTTCAAAAGGTGGTTTTGTGGGTTTGCTTTTCACATTGTTTAAGGCAACAAGCCAACCAACCTCCTCCCCATTCTTCCTTTTCCTAAGCCAACCGTGCTTTGCACATGGGGGACGTGGGGGGTGTTTGGTGTGGGGTTCACCCAGCTCCAGGCTCGCCGGTCTGGAAGCCCAGACTCTCCCCTTTCCTGACTGTGTGCAGCGTCTGAGGCAAAGGGCATGTCATAACCCAAGCTTCTGTTTTTTCTTCTGCTTGGGCCCTGCTGTGTACTGTATTTGACAAATGTTAATGCTAGAATGGTCCCTCCCACGTCTCTGGGGTTTAGTTTCTGGAGAGATCATGGCCTCTCGAGGTTGATGTGGCAGCAGGTGGCGCTCGTCTCCCCAGCGAGCCCACACTCTGTGGAGCTCCCCACAGGACACGCGGACCTGGGGCCTGAGCAAAGAGGCTTCCGGCGTCAGGCAAGGTGGTAGCCCTCCCTGTGTCTCCTCCTGCTCTTGTGTCTATTGGAGTTGAGGTGTCTCCTTGGCACAAACACTGAGACCTTGGTGGGGCTGATGTGACAGCAGTGAGGATGGAACAGAATGTGTCAGGGGCTGGGTCCAGATGTCAGGTGTGATGGGGGTGGGGCCCAATTGGGGGTATGGTCAGGGTCCTGGCCGGTTATGAGGGTGTGGTCAGGGGCGGGGCCCAGCTGTGGGTGTGGCTCCACTGTGGATGTGATGGGGTGGGGCCCAACTGTGGGTGTGGTCAGGGGCAGGGCCCAGTTGTGAGGGTGTGGTCAGGGACGGAGCTGTTCTGAGGATGTGGCCAGAGATGGGGCCCAGTGGTGGGTGTGGCCCAACTGTGGGTGTGGTTAGGAATGGGGCCAAGCTGTGGGTGTGGTCTGGGGCGAGGCCCAACTGTGGGTGGGGTCCAGCTGTGGGTGTGGTCAGGGGTAGGGCCCAGCTGGGGCAGGGTCCAGCTGTGGGTGTGGTCTGGGGTGAGGCCCAGCTGTGGGTGGGGGTCCAGCTGTGGGTGTGGTCAGGGGTGGGGCACAGCTGTGGGTGTGGTCCAGCTCTTGGTGTGGCCAGGGGTGGGGCCCAGTTATGAGGGTGTGGCCAGGGGTGAGGCCCCAGCTGTGGGTGTGGTCCAGCTGTGGGTGTGGTCAGGGGTGGGGCCCAGCTGTGGGTGGGGTCCAGCTTTGGGTGTGGTCCAGCTGTGGGTCTGCTCAGGGGTGGGGCCCAGCTGTGGGCAGGGTCCAGCTTTGGGTGTGGTCAGGGGTGGGGCCCAGCTGTGGGTGTGGTCCAGCTGTGGGTATGGCCAGGGGTGGGGCCCAGCTGTGGGTGTGGCCAGAGGCTTTCTCTTCCCCCTCCCCTGAAGACTGCCCTCTCCTACCCTGCCAGTCCACCTTCCTAGGACGTGGAGGGGTGCCTGCCCACATCTCCCTGCTGGCCGCCCTTGGCCTTGAGAGTCCTGGCTGGGGCAGGCCCTCCCAGAAGGACCTGAGTGAGGCTGCTCTGGGCCAAGAAGGCACAGAGCTCTTCGAGGTCCATCCTAGAGCACCTCAGACTGAATTTGCACTGCTGGCCTCAGAGGCTGGGCTTCCTGTGACCCCAGTGTCCCCAGCCCCTCCCTGGCACTGCCTTCCTCCTGTTCTCACGCCATGTTCCATGTCCAGGGACATAGGGCTGGCCCAGCAAGGTCGCCAGAGGCCGGGATGCTGTCTCTCAGCTGCCCTGTGGAAGCTGACTTCCTCTTCCTGGCACTCGGCCAGCCTCCAGACACACCGCCCCCAGCAGAGGACAGAACAGGACAGGCTCTCATCCCTGCTCTTTCTTTGGCGGAAGAGATATGTCTCCATGAAATCAGTGCAGGCAAAATGAACTGGTTCTTATTTGATGGGGAGGTCACAAAGCTGGAGCCTCCTGCCTCCTCTGGCTGCCCCTGCTGGACCGAGGAGGTCTGCATGAGGGTCAGGGCGAAGGCCAAGATCACGATCTGGGGACCACAGCCTGAGCAGGCCGCCTCCACAATATTTTTTTAACTTTAAATTAAATGCCAACATTTCCAAATTTGGAACCATCACATGAAAATACCAATTTCCAACTTCTCTTGAAAACACTAGAGGCTCTGCCTACCCCCGCGCCCCTGGGCTGTGCTCACACCTGCCACTGATCAGGGCTGAGGAGGGTCCCTGGGCCCCCAGGTGCCTCACTTCCCGTCCTCTGATCCACATCAGAGCCTGAGACGCTGTGACTATTGGTGCTCGGCCACTCCTGGGTGAATCAAATGGAAAAAAACAACTAACTTGATTTCCTTTTTCAGATCTACAGACCCTCACGTTTGCAAAGTGGCCCGATTTGGTCACTTCCCTCCCCGGCCCTCAGCCCTCGGTGCAGGGGGTGTGGTCCCGGGGGACTGGCTCTGAGTGGGCTCCCTGTCCGCAGTTTCTGTGCACGGTGATTGCCATCCTCCTGCACTACGTCTACATGAGCACCTTCGCCTGGGCCTTCGTGGAGAGCCTGCACGTCTACCGCGTGCTGACCGAGGTGCGCAACATCGACGCGGGGCCCATGAGGTTCTACTACGTCGTGGGCTGGGGCATTCCAGCCATTGTCACAGGTGAGGACGCACAGAGCAGCCCCGCCGGGGTGGCCTGGGGCGGGAACCGACCACCACTCCAGGGGAATCCGTGTGACATGCTGACACAGGAACCCAGTCAGATAAGCCAGTGTCCTCTGGTGCGGGCGGAGGAGCTCTCAGGCCTCCTCCCGCTTCTGTACCCAGCTCGGCCCGCCCGCAGCAGAGGAGGCCCCAGCCCTGCATGCTCATCTGCACACACGAGTGTGATCAGTCAGTGTCTACCTGGGGGGACGGGGCCTTGAGAACTGGGCCTGGGGCTGTTCAGGGTTCTGTCTGTGGCACCAGAGAAAAACTCCACATCTGTCCACTGAGTGGGTGGATGGATGGATGGGTGGATGGACAGACGGATGGATGGATGGATAGATGGATGGGTGGATGGACAGACGGATGGATGGATGGAGAGATGGATGGGTGGATGGACAGATGGATGGATGGATGGAGAGATGGATGGATAGATGGGTAGATGGATGGTTGGATGGATGGCTAGGTGGGTGGATGGATGGGTAGATGAGTGAGTGGATGGGTAGATGGGTGAATGAATGAACAGAACAGCAGCACTTCCTCAGCAGACTTTTCACTAAGTATCAAAGTCAAAGTTCCTTTTGAGAAAGATCCACACTTCTGTTCACAAAGAAAGAGCTGAACCCTCTTCTCCTCAGTAATCCCCAGGTTCCAGGGATCCATGCAGGCTCGAGGCAGTGGGAGGCCACGATTAGAACATTCAGGGGCTTCTCAGAAGAAACCTGACTCCTCCTTGTGGACTCCTGTGAGGGCCAGACCTGAGGCCGGCTATTCCACATGGTCACTCTAAGTGGGTCTTCCTCATTTTACAGGAGAAGTCACGTGACCTTCCCCATTCACGTCACAAACGCTTATTGGCCCCGGGCTGGCCATAGTGGGCACGAGTGACACACAGGAGTGCCCTCACCTTCCCGCAGCTCCCGCCTGCTGGGGACTGAGGGCCCTGACCAGGTAGGGGTGGCGGGTGGCAGGGGGAAGGTCTTGCAGAGAGGGGGCTGAAGGAAGCAGCCCTGAGGCGGAGGCCCCTTCCGTCTGAGCCACAGGGACAACTTTACACAGAGAAGACTATTTTCTGTGACTTGTTTTTCATCTCAAGATAAACACCTCATCTGGGCAAAGATACCGCCTCGCTGTCAAGTTGCACGTTGTGAAATGGCACTGCCTCTGAGACGGCTGTGGAGTCTAAATTCAGATATTTCACATTTCTAACTTACTTTAAAGACAGTTTTTTTTTTTTTTTTAACGCTTAAGCCTCTTGCAGAAGAACTTAAAGCAATTCCCAGGGAACCTCGGGCTGAGATGGAGGCTGGCTTGTTCCTGCCGGCTTTGTTTCCACCTCTCCCTGCCTGGCCCCGCCTGCCGTCCACATGTGGCCCGGCTGGCCCTCTCCTGCCGGTGCTGCCATCTGTGTGTGTGTGTGGGGGGGGGGGCACACGTTCCCATCTCCACCCCACCTTGTGGTCACCTCGGGTGTCCCCTCCAGACAGGGGCTAAATGGAGGAGGGCGTCTCCGCCCAGACGTTGCTTGGGGTGCCAGACACCCAAGCAGTGGAAGGGCAGGCTGTCTGGGGCCGTGGCGACAGCCCTTGTCTCAGGGCTGTGGGTGCCTGTCCCAGCCTGGGCCCTCTGGAATCCAAGGGACCTGGGTGGCTGGTCCTCTCAGGCTGTTTTCCTGTGAGCTTTCCTCAACCCCCACCAAGACTCAGTTACCTAAACCCCCCACGGGATCAGGAGTGTGCATTCATTCATTCATTCATCCGTGGAGTGCCTCTTTTATGCCAGGCTCTGTTCTAGGCCCGGAGTCAGCAGTGAGTGAGAACAGCAAAGCCTTTTGTCCTCAGGGAGTCGCCCCTCCAAGGAAGACGGGCGATTTAACGTCCTCCAGCCCACTTGACTGGAGGTTCATCCACGGACCCTGCACTGTGTGGGCTCAGAGCTGAGGGAGAGGTGATGGGGACCTGCTCTCACCTGGGACAAGACAGGCCGGGAAGGCTTCCTGGAGGAAGCGCTGTGTGCACTGGAGGGCAAATAGGAACAAGGTGGTGGAGAGGGCAGGGGAGCGTGCCTCTGTGGCCCAGCATTGTGTGGGGACCGATGGGAGTATGGCTGGTTGGGGACTGACCCGAGGCCGGGCCCTGGAGTGAGGGGTGGGGGTGCCACGTGGTTTGGAGTGTGGCCATGGCCACACCACGGAGTTCAGCCTAGAAGGCCACAGAAGCAGCCATGGCTGTCTCCTGAGGGCAGTGGGAAATCATTGGAGGGTTTTAAGCATCAGTGGGGAGACTTGATCTTTTTAGAATCTAAATAAGGAGCTTGGTGGGGCAGCGCTGTGGCATAGTCCAGTCCTGGGGTGGGGGGAGTGAGGTGGGGGAGGTGGAGGGGGCCACAGCGAGGAGCGCCCAGGTCACGCTGGCTCCTTCCTCCCAAACAAGGTCTGTGTTGAAGAAGTCACTGCAAACTTCACCTTGACGGCTCTGCAAGGACAGGGTTCTCCTCTAGCTTGTCACCTGGTTGTTAGAACAATGGCTGTGGTTTAGATAATATAAGAAACTGCCATTTGCATTGCACTGTGGAATGGTGAGCAGTTTCTGGGGTGTGTGTGGTCTGTGTGCACATGTGTGTGTACAATGTGTGTGGTCTATATATTGTGTATGTGTGGTCTGTGTGCATATGTATGGTGTGTGTCATCTGTATATGCGTGTATGTGTGGTCTATGTGCACGTGTATGGTGTGTGTGGTCTGTATATGTGTGTGTGGTCTGTGTGCGTGTGTACGGTGTGTGTGGTATGTGGGGTCTGTGTGCGTGTGGTCTGTGTGTGTGTGTATGTGTGGTCTGTGTGCATGCGTGGTCTATATATTGTGTATGTGGGGTCTCTGTGTGTATGTATGGTGTTTGTGGTCTGTATGTGTGTGTATGTGGGGTCTGTGTGCATGTGTATGGTGTGTGTGGTCTGTGTGTGTGTATGTGTGCGTGTGTACGGTGTATGTGGTCTGTATATGTGTGTATATGTGGTCTTGTTGTGTGTGGTCTGTGTGCGTGTGTATGGTATGTGTGGTCTGTGTGTGTATGTGTGGTCTGTGTGCGTGTGTACGGTGTGTATGGGCTGTATGTGTGGTGTGTGTGGTCTGTATGTGTGTGTATGTGTGGTCTGTGTGTGTGTGGTCTGTGTTTGTATGTGTGGTGTGTGTGCGTGTGTATGGTGTGTGTGGTCTGTGTGTATGTGTGGTCTGCGTGTGTGTGTACGGTGTGTGTGGTCTGTGTTTGTGTATGTGTGGTGTGTGTGCGTGTGTACAGTGTGTGTGGTCTGTGTGTATGTGTGGTGTGTGTGCACGTGTACGGTGTGGTCCGTGTCCGTGTGTCTGTGCGGTGTGGTGTGTGCATGCTCTCAGGTCCTTCCTCCCTGGCACCTGTGGTCCGTCACAACATCTTGGGCTCCTCATGGCCCAACAGCAGGGTCTCCTCGTTGTGTTTTCACAGCTGATTCTGCCCCATCCCGTCGCCGCCCTCCTTGGTCTCTCTCTGGTCTCTCTCAGCAGCCCCAGCCTGGGTGGGCTCCCTGCCTCTGGGTGAATCCATGAACAGCTCATGGCTGCTTAGGCCCCTGTGGGCGTGGTGGGCCTGTGATTTGGCACCGAGGGGGACTCCTGCTCAGAGGGGACCTGGGCCTTTGTCACATCTCAGCTATCTATCTCAGCTCCTTGCCCATTCCCTCTGAGGGCGATGCTGGGGCCCCGGGGTCCTGTTGTGTGGGGCTGGCCACACCTCGCCCAGGCTGGCCCTCAGGAGGGGTCTTCTCCTGGGGTGTGGCCCTCACTCTTCTCATCCCCGTTGCCCAGGACTCGCGGTGGGCCTGGACCCCCAGGGCTATGGAAACCCGGACTTCTGCTGGCTGTCCCTTCGAGACACCCTGATCTGGAGCTTTGCCGGGCCCATCGGAACGGTTATAATTGTGAGTGGGGGGCGGTTCGCAGCACCCTCAATTCTCAGGGACGTGGGAAGCTGGGGTGCCACTCGATGCATCAGCTGGAAGGAGTGTTTGGGGCTGGCTGGGTCACCGGCTCCTCTAAGCAGCCGGGTGGGGCGGGAAGGGCTGGTCTCACAGTGATGAGGTCTCATCCTCAGACCCCTGGATTCTGGGTTTTGTTCCATATCCACGTCCACTGTGAGACCGCTTGGCATCCAGCCCCAAGGAGGGTCCCTTGCTGGCAGGCTGGGGTGTGGGCCCCCAGGCCTTGTCACCTCAGCGACACCTCCCTGAGACGCAGGGTGAAGACCTTCAGAAGTGTTTGGCTTTTCAAGGTTTGTTTTGACAATGCAGTCGTGGCCCCTTGACTTTGCTTTGTTTTTTTCAGGTCAACACAGTCATTTTTGTCCTGTCTGCAAAGGTTTCCTGCCAAAGAAAGCACCATTATTATGAAAGAAAAGGGATTGTGTAAGTTGGTGCTAAACCTGACCACTGGGTGGGACCTGATGCAGAGACCCTCCCCCCCCCAGTGTCTGGTTTGAGCACCAGTCGTTGAGGACAAGCTAGGCCAGTCCAGAGGGCCGAGGACTGCCGTGTAGACAGGGATCAACAGGCCGCAGTGGGGGAGAGGCCGCTGCATCTGGACGCTGCCCGGGCTGTGCTGAGCCGTGTCTGGATCCAAGCAGCATTGGAACATTGTGGAGGAGAGGAGGGAGGCTGACCACAGGGAGGGCCGGGCAGGCGGCCATGGTAGCAGATGTGGACAGGAGGCGGTGGAGGACGATGACAGCCGGGTGGGGGGTGCTGAGGTGCCGGGACACAGCCGAGTGGAGTCCGGCGGGGCTGGGGGTGGGGCGGGGATGGAACTGTCCGGGTTGGTGGTGATGGTGACGCTGGGGCCGCAGGAGTGGAGGCGCTCCCCGGGCAAGAAGAATGGGGCCAGCGCAGAGGAACCTGCAGTGCTTGCTGGTTGGGAGAGGAAAGGAGACCCACAAAAAAGTGTCGGTCGGGGGGCAGGCAGGGTGGCAGGAGAGCTCAGTGTGCAGTCCAGGAGACGAGAAAGGGTCACGGGAGAGGAGGATAAGGGCGTCCATGGGGCTGGGTGACCTGAGCCGGGGGGCCGGTGAAGGGATGATGCCCAAGGTGGGGCCGCCGGGCAGCAGAGGATGAGTCTGCCCAGTCCGTGGAGAAGACAGCAGAGAGTCTGAAATGGCTGCAGAGGGGCAGACAGTGAGCAGGGGCCCTGTGGCCAAGCCTGGTCATTGCCTCCATCGTCCTGTGCTTCCTCCCCGACACACAACTTTCCAAGTACTGGACTCACATTAACCCGTGCAGTCTCCTCCACAACCCCACGAGGGGCGCACCCTCATCGTCCCCTTTACAGCTGAGGAGACCGAGGCAGAGGGCAGGAAGTCACTTGCTAGTAACGGGCAGAGCTGGAACCTGCACTGGGCAGGCCTTGACCGCCCCCCTCTGTGCCTCTCCACGCACCTTCAAGTTTCACAACTACTGCAGCCTGCCTACCAGGCTCTGCAGCCTCTCCCAGGGCACGTGCGGGAGTCGCCGTGGACGCGGGCCTGTTTTCCTTGTCACGGCTTATAATTTATTTACTTATTTGCTTTTTAATTTATTGCCTGTTTTCTGCCTCCATCTGTGCTACTGGAAGCTCCGTCTGTCCTTTCCCCTGTGTGAGCCAGTGGCCGGCTCATGGTAGATGCTTAGAAAGGGTTTAGGAAGGAAGGGAAAGTGGGTAGATGGATACATGGACAGACGGACAGATGCACGAGTGGGTGGATGCACAGATGGACAGATGGAGGGATGCATGAGTGGGGGGATGGCTGGGTGGGTGATGGCTCTGAGGGAGGAGGATATGGAATCACGCCGTGCCGCCTCTCCTGGCAGCTCCCTGCTGAGGACTGCCTTCCTCCTGCTGCTGCTCATCAGCGCCACCTGGCTGCTGGGGCTGCTGGCTGTGAACAGCGACGTGCTGACCTTCCACTACCTCTTCGCCATCTTCAGCTGCTTACAGGTGGGCAGCTCTCCGAGTGACCTGGCGGGGCCTTCTGCTTGGGCCAGCCCTAGTAGGCCATGAGTCACCTGTGCTGCTGCCTCTCTGAAATGCCACAACCTCGATGGGCCGAGAGGGTCCCTGGGGAGATGTCTGACCCAGTGTCCAGGCCGTGTCCTTGCTCTCAGGACAAATGGGGCCGCACCCTGGCTGTCTTTCCAGTGCAGCCGCAGTGTCAGGGGTTACGGCAAAGCCTCCCACACACGGTCCTGCCACCAAAAAGGAGCCTGGTGTTCCAAACACAGCTGCCCAGAGCCTGCCCAGGGACCCCTGTTCCTTGGTCCTCCTGTCTCATCAGGACACGGTCCTTTGCTCAGCCAGTGCAGGGGCTCGTTCCCCCTCCCCAGGCGTAAATCCCACTTGTGCCCCCAAGGAGGGGTGTTGGCCCTTTACGGTTTACACCCAGGGCTTCCCAGGAAGTTGATTAAAGACATAACTTTGGGGATCCCAGATGGCCGAGGGCTGTGGCCTGGGTTGGGGCCCTCCTGCCCCCCACATGCTGGCTGCCCTCCCCAGGCTCCTCCGAGAAAGCGGCAGCCCCTGGGGAGTGGAGGCTAGCGTGGGCCTTGGTGCACGTCTCTGCGGCCACAGCGGCCAGGCTTGATCTGGGCACCCCCAGCCCCACGCGTCCCCGGGCAGGCAGGTGTGCGGTGTGGCAGCGGCAGGACCTTGGCTTCTCTCCTGAGGGCCGTGCCCGGCGCTGACCCGCCGCCCCTCCCTCCAGGGCCTTTTCGTCCTCTTGTTCTACTGCGTGCTCAACAGGGATGTCCGGAAGCACCTGAAGGGGGTACTCGCCGGCAAGAAGCCGCACCCGGACGACTCGACCACCACGAGGGCCACCCTGCTGACGGTAGAGGCGTCCGGGGACCCCAGGGGCCTGGGGCTGGGCTGCACCGCTCGCCGGGGGTCAGTGTGGGTGTCTGGACCGAGCATTAGATGCAGCTCTGTGGGCTTCACGTCCCCCTCAAATGGGGCATCACAGAGCCATCCGCCGAGCGTGGCATCGAGCCTGTGCCTTTCCAGCGGTCCCAGGAAGCAAGCAGAGTCGACTAGATGGGGTCTGTCACAGAGACAGCCCCACTTCTCAAGGTCTCGGGAGGACAGGGCCGTGGCAGGCGAGGATCCCTGACCAGAAGCAGTGGCTGTGGGAGCGAGGCCATCCTCTGACCACAGCAGGGGCCGGCAATGCTCTCCTCTCGGCTGCTGCGAGGCTCCTGTGTCTGGCCGGCAGGGGCACAGTCAGGGTGGGCACTGGGGCTGCTGTGGGAACAGAGCCACCCTCTGCACCCTGGTGGCCTCTGCCTAGCCGATAACCATCCTCCTTTCCCCCAGCGCTCCCTCAACTGCAACAACACCTACAACGAGGAGCCCAACATGTTCCGCACGGCCCTGGGCGAGTCCACCGCCTCGCTGGACAGCACCCTCAGGTCAGGCCGAGCCGGGCGCCCTTGCTGTCCTCTCAAGGGGGAGGCCCAGCTCTCAGAGCAGACACAGACTTTGTCACCTCCGTCCCAACCCTGCTGGAAAGGGTCCGAGCAGTGTGTCCTGCTATCCGAGTTGATGCTTCCCCCTGCACTCAGGGAGTCTCTCTCTGGAAGGTTCGTGGTAGAACCTTCCAGAGCCCCGCCCCGTGTGGCCGTCCTGGCATATGCAGAAGGTGCTCACTGATGTTGGGTGGCCGCATCACGCGTCCCCTGCGTGATGGTGCTGAGCCCACCCTCCCCTCCTCTCTAGGGACGAAGGGGGCCAGAAGCTCAGCGTGTCCTCTGGGCTGGTGCGGGGCGGCCCGGGTGAGCCAGATCCGTCCTTCATCCCCAGGAGCAGCAAGAAGCCCCACGGTACGTGTCCCCCAGAGGGTGGTCTCATCAGCCTGCACGTCTCTCTTCTGGGGGGCCGTGGGCCAGAGCTCCTTTCTGGCCCACATCTGTCCCATGGCCCTCTCGGTCACTGGAGGACATACAGGCCTGAAGAGGTGTCTGTGGCTGTGTCACAATTAGAGGGTCAGCAAGGGCCCAACTGCCCCCAAAGGCCTGGGCCCCAGGTGGCTCCACTCTGCTCTTGGCAGGAAGCCCGCCTGGGCCTGAGCCCCTCCCTCCTGCGCACCCTGCAGGCCACGATTCGGACTCGGATAGTGAGCTGTCCCTGGACGAGCAGAGCAGCTCTTACGCCTCCTCACACTCTTCAGACAGCGAGGACGAAGACAAGCGGGACCCGACCCGGGGCCCTGTCCACAGCACCCCCAAAGGTGAGTGGGCCGGGGCATAGCAGCCCAGGGTAGGCTGCAGAGCGGGCCTAGCGGGCCTAGTGGGGCGCAGAATGTGGCGGCAGCATAGGACAGCAGGCAGGAGCGCTGGCTGGGGAGGGCCCCTCCACCCCCTCCACAGAGCACAGACAGGGAAGTCTTGGGAGGGTCTCTCTGGGAACCCTCACTGCAAAGACCCAAGCTGTCCCCACATGCTGGGGGGAGCCAGCAGGAGGCTCCCAGGTCTTGGGGTGCAGTGGGGGATTGCAGCCTGGGCCCCCATTGTCAGGACCTTCCCTCTCAGAGCCTGGTTTCCCCACCTGGAGGGTGTGGTCCTGCCGGGCCTGCAGGTCAGGGCCACTCAGGACGCACGCTCCCCGCGGAGGAACGATTCGGAGCCTTTTAGGGGGTGAAGCTCCCAGGATGGGGGGGTCCTCCCTGCTTGTTGAGGGTCACTCCTGTGCCTCAGTGGACGCTGCGGCCGACCACATCCCTGCCGGCTGGCCCGACGACAGCCTGGCTGGGAGCGACAGTGAGGAGCCGGGAGAGAAGCCGCGTCTGAAGGTGGAGACCAAGGTCAGCGTGGAGCTGCACCTGGACGCGCAGGGCAACCACTGCGAGAAGCCTGCGCTCCCCACCCAGCCCCCAGAGCAGATAAAAGGTGCCTCGGGAGTGGTGAGGGCCCGCTGCCCCCGGAAGTCCCTCCGCCTGGGGAGGGGGACAGAGGCGGGGTCTAGGCAGGCGGGGGCGGGGCTTGCTGGGAGGGGGCGGGGTCCGCGTGGCGGCTGGGGGCGGGGACAAGGTGGGCGGGGGAGGGGAAATTGGCGTCCCAGCAGGGCGCAGGTGGCCGTCGGGCCCCGCCACCTGGAGCTGAATCTCAAGGAGGGAAGACCGGCGGCTGCGCTGCCCGGATCCGCAGGGACCGTCCCTCCCGAGTGGCTGCAGCCAGCCTGACTGTGACCTCCATCTCCCCACCTCCAGGCATCTTGAAAAACAAAGTCACTTACCCGCCGCCGCTGACGGAGAAGACCCTGAAGTCCCGGCTCCGGGAGAAGCTAGCCGAGTGTGAGCAGAGCCCTGCGTCGTCGCGGTCATCCTCCCTGGGCTCCAGCGACGGGGTCCGCGGCCCCGACGGCGCCATCACCGTCAAGACCCCGCGCCGGGAGCCGGGGCGCGAGCACCTCAACGGGGTGGCCATGAACGTGCGCGCCGGGAGCGCCCAGGCGCACGGCTCCGACTCCGAGTGAGTAGCCCCGGCCTCGGCGGGAAAGGCAGCAGGGGCGGCCCCCAACCAGCTTTCCCTCTGTCCCCTGTCCGGAGGAGAGGCCCCGAGTCCAGAGAGGGGCAGCGGGCAGGGGCCTGAGCAGAGGTCCCCGGGGCTGCGGTGGGTGCCTCCTAGGACAGGGCCTTCAGCTTGGGTCAGCAGGAACTGGCCAGAAGTGGGGCAGACTCCCCGTTCTGGGGATCTGCAGACATGCGTGCCCTGTGGGGACTACAGGGGCTACATTAGCTGAAGCCCTGAAGTCCTGTCCAGCCCTGAAATTCCAGGACTTAGACTATGCTGGACGGAGTGTTTTGTAAGCATCGTCTCCTTGGCCCAGGGTCACTACTACCCCTTGTTGTGGTTGAGGAGACTCAGGCTCCAGGGTGCCCAGCTGCAGAGGCCTGGAGCTGGGATACTGGCTGTAGACAGGACTGCGGCCCTCTCCATGGTTCCTCCCTCCTGCAGACTTCCAAAAGAGGAGCAAAAAGTGGGAGCCAGGTCTTCTAGAATGACCTTCCTAAAACCCAACCTAAAGAATGAGTTTGGTTGCTGACCTTGATGCCCCATGCCCCACTCCAAGGCCAGCTGTGTGGAAGACAATCAGATGGGCCTGGCTGCCCAGCTGCCTGGGTGTCAGGGGTACAGACCCGACCTGCCCTCGCTCCTGCCTTCTGCTGTAGCTGTGTCCACACATGAGCTTGCCCTCCCCGGAGCCCCCAGGCTTCCCCTGTCTCCTGAGTGGGGGGTTCTGCCCCTGCATAACCTCAGACCCGGCCTAGCTGCTGGCTTCACTGGTGGCAAGGGGTGTCCACGCTGACCCTCCGCCTGCCTCATGGCTTCTTCCCACGCACAGAGGCAGTAACGAAACTTCAATTTGAACTATCAGGAAACTGTGAGATAAGCCGGTCATCTCCACCCAGGCCTCTGTGCCGTCTCATCGTGCCCTTGGAGCCCGAGGGGCCACTGCCCGTCCAGTGAAGCAGGCCCTGGTGGTAGGGTCCCTACAGTGGCAGCCCCATGACTGGTGTGACTGACGGTCCAGACAGGAAGCCCTGTGCTGCCCCCAGGGGCTCAGGGCCCATCCAACCCCCTGATAAGTGCCAAAGGTCACAGGCACAAGGAGGCGTGGACTCCCGGGCTGACACAGCTCGATCCTCAGCCTGCAAACAGAGCCAAAACTGTGCCCAGACCTGGCCAGGAGAGGGCCCAGCACAAGGGCTGGCAGAGCCCAAGCTGGCCTTGCGTGAGAGGAACCCAACACAGACCAAAAACCAAGGTCCGGCCACCGTGTGGGCATCTCCCTGCAGTACAGGCGCCCCGGCCAGCAGCCTCAACAGCCGTTTGCAAAGGCACCCCTTGTCTTGAAGCAAATTACTTTCCTATGCTGAAAAGGTGTAGCTACTTCTATATATCTGTGTGGAACTCTGAGAAGGCGAAACCCTGTGTATATTTTGCATTTGTACTGACTGTTGATAATAGAGATCTGTGGAATGGTCTCTCGCTATTTTTATATAAGGAAGATTGCACGGTTGTACTTGAATCTGGCGTCCCAGCAAATCTGAGGTGGGAATGAGGCTGAAACTCATGAGACAGAGGTTCCTGCCGCTGCTTTCAGCCAGCAAGCAAGGAGCCCGCGGGCATTACACACGGCGCCTGAATTCACAGCACGTTTGTTTCTGAGGTGTTGGCTCTCAGCTCCCATCTGCCTCGACAGTTGTGGATCCGAGACGAGGTGACCTGGGACTGGGCAGGCCTCAAGGAGCTTGCTGAGGTCAGCGCAGAATGCAGGTACCACACAGCCGTGATGTACACACTGGTCATTCCTCAGCTGCCCCTCCTCTCAGGCGTCTGGGCCCTGCAGGGCCTCCCTGGCCCCCTTCCCAGTCAGCGTGGTATGGCAGGTGGGAATTCATTTGTCCCTCTGGCCCTGTTCGCGGTGGGATTTTAAAGTGTTCACACGTTCCTGATTGAGGCGGAGGTATGAGGTCTTCCAGGATGTCAAATTCCTTCCTGCCAATTTTCTAGCTCTTTTAGTCTCTGAGGATCTCCGGGCAGCCTGGAGTCCCACCCCCAGAGTCTGACCAATTACTTCATTTTGCTTCAAATGGCCAATTGTGCAAAGGGACAAAGCCACAGCCGTACTTTTCAATGGTTACCAAGCTGTTTTTTGGAAACTCGTACCAAGGACCGGCTGGCTGTGACAGTCCCACCGTGGGCAGTTGGCACAGCGTGGCCCGAGGGGCTGTGGAACGGGGCCCAGAATTATTCAGACACGTTTTATTTCAGTGTTTCCTTTGTCCTTCAAATCAGATGCCCAAATAAATGATCGGCACAGCTGCTCCCAAATATGAGAAACCATAAGATATGATGAAAATCAGGTAAAACACAAAGATTTGCATAATGTGTTATTCTGATGAAAATGTTAACACATCGCTAACGAAGGACTGCACAAGAGGAGAGAAAATCTGAAACTGGTCTAAGACCAGACACGCAATACAGAGGTGAAATGCGATCCCAGAGCCCTCATACCTGCATGAATCATAAATGTGCCTTAACAGGTGAGTGGCCTTTGAAGATACGCAATGATAGTATCTTCCAGTGTTTACCACTGATGAGACAGTTTCTAAGTGAAAAAGGTTTTCGTGTTTTGAGTCTTTGAACACTCCACTTCCATGTTTTCAATTACTCTTCCACAACTGGATTTTGCCCCTTGAGGTGCAGCTTTCAATTTGATCAGAACTGTAACCAAAAAACAACTGTCAGTTTTCTTAAGACAGGAAAAATGTACCTATTTTTGTGACTTAAGACTTTATGAGAGAAATTAGACACTGGAGGATTTTTTTTAAACAAATGTATATTTATTAACGTTCGAAACACTGGAATGACATGAATGAGAAGAGTCTACAATAAATTAAGATTTTTGAATTTGTGCTTCTACTGTGCTGCTTCTCCCCAACCCTCGCTCCCTCCCCATGGAAGGGGCTAGCATGGGAGGCTGCTGACCAGCATGAGGAGCAGGAACTGTGCTGGAACTTTCTGTTCATTCCCCTTCAGGCCTGCCACAGTCTGATGAGCAGGCCCTATTCGGGCTCTCCTGAGATCTTTAAACTTATGTCTTCCACCTGTTAGGAGAAATTTTTAGCCAGTATTTCTTCACTTTCTTTCTCCTGCACCAGTCTCTTTCTCCCGTCCTTCTGGAACTGCAGTGACATAAATGTTAGACCTTTTGATTGTCCCACAGGTCCCTGAGGCTCTGTTCATCTGTTTTCATTCTTTTTTCTCTGTTCTTTAGATGTGATCATTTTTAGTGATCAATCTTCAAGTTCACTGATTCTTTCCTCTGTAATCCCCATTCTGCTATTGAGCCCATCCAGTGAATTTTTTAATTTCAAACATTGTAATTTTAAGTACTAAAATTTCCATTTGCTTCCTTTTTATAACTTTTCTCTGCTGAGGAATTCTCGTTGTCCATGCATTCCAAGAGTGTTTACCTCGTGGAGCATGGTTATAAAAGCTACTTTAAATTCTTTGATAATTTGAACATCTGGATCATCTTGGGGCTGAAATCTGTTGTCTTTTGTCTTGGCATTTTCCTGGTTCTTTGTATGCTGATTAATTTCAAAGGGAATCCTTGATTGACATTGATGTGCCGTTTTGGGTCTTCCCACAGACCCACAGCTCGGGGGTGAGCCAGTACCTGTGTCAGTATATATGGAAAACTAGGGGCCTCTTCTCCAGCTCTCACCCCTCTGGGATTCGCCTCACATGCTCTAACTACTGGGGCCCCTTTTCTTGGTTCCTCTGTTCAGAAAGATGGGTTTCTTCCAGAGTTGTGGCCATCTGCACTGCCTCACACTTTCCCACCCTTGGGGAAAATTAGAGCAAAGAGAAAAAATAATGGGATCCCCCCCTCTTGGGCCCACAGGGCCCCCCCTTTCCCAGACCTCTCTTGGAGTTCTTGCCCCAATACTGGCCACACAGCTCCAGAGACTGGGGACACCCTTGGGTCAAATCTGGGAGAAAAAACAGGAAAATCACCCACAAAAAGCCCCACTCCCCCAAAGGTCCTTCTTCCAAGTTTTGCTCTTTCCCTAGTCCACAGGCTGTTCACGTCTCAGAGTGCTCAGTAGTGCACAGGATAGAATATCTCTCTCTCAACCCCAAAGCCATGCTTAATGGGAAAATATGGAAACATCTGAGAAAGACAGCAGCCCCTGGCACAGGGGAGCAGACCTGGTGCATCAGCTGGGCCTAGTGCACATAAATGATTGCACAGAACACCAACCTCAGACAAGGCTGCTCTGGGACCCAAGGGATCGAGACAACAAGACCCCTCTGTAATCATATCTGCACACAGACATGCACATGGAACATCTGAATATGGTCCACGCCACAAACATGTCCAAAGCTCCCCTGTCCCAGACAACAGGAACGACTGCTACCTCACCAGGCACAGCCGTAGCCTCAGTCCAGGCTCCCTCCCTGTAGACAAGCTTCATTAAGACACCAAGGGGGAGGGAGATCAGGGGCTTGGGAAGGCTTGCCAGCACATGGACACGGGGCAGCTGGAGCCCAGGGGCTATGTGGGCAGAAGACATGCCTGAGGGGCTTGAAAGTGACCTGGAGCCTGGGGAAGGAGCTTCCAGGTGTGAAGTGTGGGTGCACAGTCCTAGGACCTGTCTCATGGAGATCACTCTGGGAACGATGTGGGGCACAGGGGCAACACTTCCGTTTATACCAAGAGCAGGACGTGTGTATGAGCATCTGGCTCTGGGCCCAGGACATTTTCATCTCCTTCCCCTACTCTCATGATCAGTAGATGTCAGGGAGTGACTGGGGCCTGGCAGCCTCTCAGCCCCCACCCCGGGCCCGCCCAGGGTCTTCTGAACGTAACTAGGGAGTACAGCCCTGGAGTCTGCCAGCCCCCAGGGCTTGGGCAGGGCATGGGGAGAGGCCCAAGTCCCAGCCCATGAACTTGGCCCAGTGGCGCCCCCTGACTGACAGCTGCTGCTAAATCTCTCTCTGAGGCACTGCCCAAGGGTCTTCCAGAGTCAGCCTCGAGCACACACGAGAGGCAATGCCCACCACAGAAGGTAACACTCCTGGCTGGGAGGTGGCCAGGGGCACCAGCCACGGGTGAGGCCTGGGTGACCCACAGGGCAGCGGCAGGTTTGTGTCTCCTCCTCCACTGGCCGACCTGGCAGGCTGGAGGCCTGGCATCGGGCTGGCAGGATGGGCAGAGCCGTCCAGAGGCTAGAAAGGCCGCCTCCTCTGCCAGCCCATGCCCAAGCCGACTTCCACCCCGTCGCCCTTCCTCCTGCCTGCTCGTGTTTCTGCCACTTTCAAGAGTCAGCCTTGCACAGAGCAGGGTGGGCACTGTGGAGGCTCCCCAGATGGGGGCCGCAGCTTAGAGCTCAGTTCCTAGGCAGGAGGCCCAGCCACCAGGACAGTGCATCAGAGGAAACCTGAGCCCAGGGAGGCTCCATGCTACCCTTTGAGCTGGCAGATCAAAGGCAGCATTTCAGCCCCAGCCTCCATGCTGGGCTGAGAATCCCCAGGGACCACGGGGCCACTGCTGGCCTGTCCAGTCCCCACCGCCCAGCACAAGATGGAAAGTGGATGCCGAGCTGTGGCCTGCCTCCTGGCCAGGGCAGAGCAAGGCGTCCCTGGTCCAGCTCAGCTGGAGCGAGCAGGCTGAGTCTGGGCGGGTGGCAGCTGCCCTCACTGGCTGCCCAGCTGAGCCATCCACCTCTCAGGACCTATTTCTTCACCTGGATCACGGAAATTGTCTCTGAAGCCACGTGGGAGGCTGCTCTGGCCCAAACTCCACCCTCGGGAAGCCTCCTGCTGAGTGGAGCCTCAGCTGGAGGAGGAGTGAGTGAAGGGTACCCGCAGGACGGTGACTGCTCTGCGCTGGAGAACCATCCGTCCTGACACGCTAGAGAACCAAGAGCACCTGGACCCCCTCCTCCCCCTGGACAATGCCTGGCTTTGCAAACCATGCTGAGCAGAAACACCACCAGCCACCGGTGACCATGACAATCGGCTTAGTAGTTAATTCCTTGCTCCCTGACCCACTATGTCTGACTTCCCAAATCCCACCCTTGTCCCTGCTGGCCACCTCATCCAACCCTCCACAGCCCACCTGGTCCCCTCCCATCTGTACCTCACAGAGGTCAGAGGGATCCTCTGCTCAAAATCCTCCCTTGGCCTCCCCTCCCATTCAGAAAGCCCACTCCTCACAGTGGCTACCAGGCCCTGTGCGCTCCAGGGCCCAGGTGCCTGTCACCCTGCTCTGGGCTCCTCCCTCGTGGTCAGGTGTGGGCTCTGTGTTCTGCCTCCAAGGGGGCTCCAACCAAGCACCCTGACCCAGGCTGGCCTTGCCACCACCAGCAGCCCCTTCACTCAGCACTAGGGGCTTCTGAGCCCTGGATGGCAAGGCCACGTGACCCCCACTGAAGGGGCTCCCCCAGCAGCACAGTGCCTGGAGAACTGTGCTGTCTTTGGTCTAGAACCTTCTCACCACAGGAGATGCGGAACCACACTTCTAGTTCCCACAGGAGCCTGGCTTGAAGCACCAAGTGCTGGGTCTGAAGCCAGTGAGAGCTCACTGTCCCTAGCGCCCAGGGCAGGGGGCTGGGCCCTCAGGGCAGAGCACCAGGGACCCTGTGGCCCACTGGGAGCCCGGACAGGGGACTGACTACCCCCTGACCCCTCACACTCCCCCAGGCAGGGAAGTTGGATGCAGTGTGGCGTGCACACACACGCCCTCTCAAGAAAGGGCCAATTTCCTGCCTGACTCAGCTGATGACTCCTCCCACAGGCAGGAGGCCTCCAGGAAAAGTGGAGAGGCCGAGTGGTGCATCCCCCAACTTCCCACCTCCAAGTCCTGGGCTCCCCGCAGCCGGCCTCCTTCAACACCTACAGTAAGATGACATCACTCCAGGACAGTGGTGACCAAAAGGCCCCCAGGCCAAAGCGCGTCGCTCACTCAGCACAGCCGGCTCTGACGTTCTTTATTTTCAAGCAGCTTTCGGCCTGCCCCAAGCCACCCTCTCCCCACAAAACACACACACACACTCCTCTCTCTCTCTCTGTCACTTGTCCTCTACCACAGGGTGAGGGTGGGCACAGCTGTGATAAGAGAAGGCTGGGATCTCAGGGAGAGGAGGGCAGGGTTTCCATCACTCTCCTGTCCTCAACCGTCAGAGGGGCCACTGCAGTGGAGCCCCTGAGAGGGCCCACCTGGGCCTCCAACCCACTGGAGGCCACTGTCAGAATCCATGTCCCAGATAGAATTTTTATTCGACGCTGTCCCCTCCACGTGCTCCCTGGTGGAAAACCTTCCCAGGGTATGAAAGAGGAATTCTATAAATCGGGTACCTGGGACAGACCCACTGGCCAGCAAGTCCTTCTCGCTAGAGCTGCAACTTGGAGAAGACGGGTTCTCCCCTCCTGGGACTCTCCCTGGCTCTGGAGCCTTTCCAGACCTTGGCCAGCCTGGCTGGGACCGGGCGGCAGACGCAGCCAGGCTCCCCCTGGTTTGGGCAGCAGCAGCCAAGACCCTGGCTGCCGCGGCCTGGGCTCTGCTCCTCCACATCTGCTCCCGGGTGCTCAGCAGCCTCTCGGCCTCTGTCAGAGCGTCGGACCCAAGCCAGGGCCATTGCCCAGGCCATCACTGGAGCCCTCGGTGGCCACTCTGGATTTGCTCTTGCCCTTCTGGAGCGTGTAGGCGGACGGCCCCAGGCGCAGGATTTTCCCGCTGCCCAGACACTCGTCCCCTTTGTAGAACACAGCAAACTGAAAGGAGAGAGGCCCGTGTCATCTGCAATGCGACGCTCTGCCTCTCGCTTTTCTGTCCTCGCTCTCAGGGGCTCAGCCTGGAGGCAGGCCAAGGAGGGGCAGCTGGGCCCTCCCAGTGGCCGAGCAGGAGCCAGGCCATCAGGGCCATTGTGGCTGGGAGAAAAGAAGCACCAGGCGTAGAGCTCCCACCCTCACTGGCTGTGTGACCCGAGCACCCACACCCCCTGCCCCTCAGCCCCTCGTCTGTAAATCTGGTGCTCTGGTTGGGAGGAAATGCAGTGCCGACCTTCCAGAGCACGAAGCCCACCGGCCACAAGAACGTTCATCTGCATGGGAGCTGCCTGGGGGCAGCTGAGCAAGTGCTGAAGCCCCTCTCCATGCACAAGGGCCGAGCTCCGGGCCACACTCACTGAGGCCCAACCTGCCTTCCAGCTGGGCATCCCCTCCTCCCTCTGCAGCACAGAGCTGGGTGCTCCCCACTCACCTGTCCCGGGGCGAGGGCCCGCACAGCCTTCACAGCCGTCACCCACACGGTGCCGTCTTGATTGAGGGTCAGCACACAGGGCACTGGTGGAAGACAGGGGCCCTTGGAGGGGGGCACTTGCCTTGCCATGTGTGGTCAGCCCCAAGCCTCAGCCCCCTGGTCTAATCTCCACATCCTAAATCTGGCCTCTCCTGGTGGATCCCGCCCGCTCAGTCACCTAGCGCCATCTGGTGGCGGAAGCGGAAGTGGCACTCCATCATCTTGTCGCGGACCAGGGCTGCGGGTGGCTCCTCTGCAATCCAGTGCACGCGGCTGGTCCGCAGCAGGTCCCTGTACAGGGCCGGGTGGTCTGTCCGGGGCGCCTGCAGAGTGGAACGCAAAGGTCATGACGCCCTGGAGCCCTTCGTAGAGGAGCCCCCCACCCAAAGCCACCTCACTGTACTTCATTAACAACAATCCCAACAGCAAACACTTGAAAACTGCAGTATCTGATGTGAAAATTCAGGTGACCATCCCACGAGTCTTCTTACCCTCGTTTTCAGATGAGAAAACGAAGAAACAGGAGGGAAAGTAACTTGTCAGGGTCACGCTTAGCAAGAAGCAGAGGTGCATGCGATCCAACCCCATGACCTCACTCAGCACTCCTCCTCGAAGTTCAGGTCTCACCCTGTCCCCCACAACCCACCTGGGGCCAGCACCAGGGACACAGGGGCCAGCCATGCCTCCGGCCTGTCTCTCAAAAAGGCCCCTGCAAGAATCCCACCAAACCCCAAGTGGCTGGGGAGGAAGGGACGGTGCCAGCTCCCCGGGGCCGCACTGAGTGGTTTGCTTCTGAGGCCCCTGACCCCTGTCCCTCATATGCCCCCTGGCCTCCTAGGATCTAGGCAAGCCTTCCCTCTGAGGCAGGACCAAAGGTATTAAGTCTGGGGGCTTTGGGCTCCAAGGGAGATCCATATAGGGACAAGTGTCAGTAAAAGACCCTTCTGGTTTTTCTCAAAGCAAAAGAAACCAATGAATTTTACACTAAAACCACTTTAATTCATGCCTGACCACAATCCCTGTCCAGGCTTTTACACCCACAGCTCCTCCTGGAAGGAGATGTCCCAGAATTGGCACGCGAGTCTGCTGTCCTCTCCGCCTGTGTCTAAAGGGAGGCCCCCCAGCTTTGTGACAGGGCACGAGATGGCATCCCAGCTTGCTCAGAGCAAGGTTTCTCAGCCTCGGCACTACTGAGATTTGGGGCTGGATCATTCTGTTAGGCACTGCGCGGGGCGGGTGGGTCCCTGGCCTCCACCCACTAGATACTAGTAGCACCTGTTCCCCCTACCCTTCCCCATGTTGTGACAACCAAAAACATCCCCAGACATTACCAAATGTCCCGGGGGGCAGGGCAAACTCATCCCCCTTTGTGAAGCCCTGCTCTAGAGCCAGGGATGGAGCCCAGGGCACAGTGGCTTGGGTCCCTGCTGTGGCAGATAGCCTGGTTTGGTCCTGGCTGTGACACCTCCATCGTTCAAGAATGACTTGCAGGAGCCTACTGTGTGCAGGCCCCGTCCTAGGCACGAGGCTGCCTCCTCTCCGTGGGACCTTCGGCACGCGACTCCGAGTCTTGTCCTCTTTTGTAAAATCAGAGGAACAGTATCTATTTACAGGGACTAATGTGATGATTAATAGAGTGACCAGCATACAACAAGAGCCTAATAAGTACCTTAAACAAAATCCTGCTGGTACCTTGGGCCAGTCCCAGGAGGGTGCAGAGGAAAGGCAAGGATGCTCCATTGGTCACTGCCGCTCTGTAGGACTTCACCAGCCCTGCCTGGTCTCACAAACTGTGGGCTCTGCCAAAAACAGACCTCCGTCACCTGTCTACAAGGCCAGCCAGACTCACCACAAGCACATCACCCTTGGCGCCGTCCTTCTCCACCACATACCAGGGCTCTCGTAAGCCGCCTATCTTGGCTCTCTGGCCCAAAGTGTACAGGAACCAACCTACGGAAACAGTTTCCCAGTGAGGGAGGACGAGTCTCGTCTCAAATGTCACACCCCTTGTGATGGAGAGAGCAAGGGAGGCAGCAGGCAGAGGCTCCGTGGACCACCGAGGGGGAGCCTGGAGAGGCCGAGGGTCTCTAACCACCAGCGTCAGCCCTGACCAAGCACCTGAGCTCATCCCAGTTGCGGGACCACCTGACCCACAAGGAGCAGGGACAACTCCTTTAGAATGTGGGCTGGGTGCACTGTCTGAGGCCATGAGCCCTGTCTTGCTGAGCCCCCAATGTATCTGTGGGTTTTGTAGGTATGCCCCCCACCCCCATGTACTAACCGCATTGGGGCCAGGACTCAGGGCTTCCCCCGAGTCCTCTGCGCCTCCCCCCACCTCCACAGCAAATGTCACAAAACCCTCCTGCGGAATGACCTGTGCACAGGCGGAGATTACTGAGGGAATCTCGGTGCCCTGACCCTGGCACACTACTTCAGTAAAGCTGGGCAACTGAACCGTAGGCTTCCGTAAGCCATGAGTCATCTGACCGCCCCTGCTGGAAACGGGTTGGGAGCGCCCTGCAGCACTGTCTCAGCAAGGCTGTCACCCCCTCCTGCCTCAGGAATCAGCTCTCCAGGAGCCCATGACATCTAAGCCCCACTCTCCCCGACAGGAAGGGGAAGCCGTCTGCCTAAACCGAGTGGGGGATCTCCAAAGAACAACTCATCTGGGAGCCTGTCTGTCCGAGCACCAGACCTTGTCCTTCCAGCAGGTCAGACCAACACTGGGTCAAGACTCGTCTGGTCCCCAGGCCCTCAAGGGCACAGCCCCACCACTCACCGACCCAACCTCTGTCCTTCCAGCTGGGCTGTGAACTGCGCCTGACTCGTCTCTGTCCCTCTCCTCCCCACACCAGCTCAGGGCAGGCTCGTGGCGCCCCTCATCCCCAGTACATGTCTGCAAATGAGTGGGCAGCACCCCTGCCACGTGAGGGGCACCTTCTGACCCCATCTCTTCACCCAGTCCAAGCCATGAAGCTCATGCTTTCAAGTCAACCTAACTCCTTCCATCAGGGTGGAATTTTTCTGTAGTCTAATATTTTCTTTATGTAGTGAAAAAATAAATTCTATTTATAGGGACTTAACACATAACTCAGAGAACAAAGTCTTTTTGAATCAGATGGCGTCCTTTTTTATTAGCTGCAGTGCTTACAAGGAGACACATCTTGAAAGGCAAACACCCCCAGTCGAGGCTGCTGCTGCCCTGCTTCGTGTCACCCTGTCTCCTCCCCAGCAGTCTTCTCTGACCACAGGTAACGCGGAAGGGACTGCAGGTATCTGGTCTCATTTCCCCACAACTCAATGAGTTCACAGTGAAAGGCAGCCAGAGGTTGTGTCTCACCTTTATGTGTTCCCAGAACCTTACTGTCTTCTATAGAAATAAATTTACCAGGTCGAGGCTGTAAATACTGGAAAACAAACATTAATTCATTACTAACGGATCCAGGCAGGTCCAGAACAGAAACATGGCTCCATCCTTTCACATCAGAGAACACTCACCTGAAGGATGAAATTTTCAAAATTTCTTTTACCAACAAAACAGATGCCCATGCTCTGAAATGAAAGGAAGGCGGAGCATGAGATCAACAGAGGGGCAGGAGGTGTCCCGCCCTAGAACAGAAGCTGTGCTCCCTGCAGGCCTCCTCGGGCCTCACCCCCTGCCCTGAGCCACACACTTTCAGGCCAAGGGCCTGGCCTTCCTCCTCCAGCACCCACAGACACCAGTCACCACGCACAAACAGACCTGGAGAGGCCTACAGAACGTCCTAGCCTCTCGGGGTTTATTTAAGGTCCCCAAACGTGGATCCTGCCGGCTGAGTAAGCAACTCCACACCACCTCCAGCCAGCAGGGTCTGCCCCTGCACTGCAGACCGTCACACCCGCCGCCCCAGGAAAGAAAACTAAAGCTGCTCAAGCCCTTCAGGCCTCTGTGCCTGCGTCTCGGGGGACGTCTCGGGGGAGAGACAGGGACCAGAGCAGCAACAGGAAGGAGAACAGCCCCAACCGACGTTGAGGCATCTGAGGGAGAGTCAGAGGAAGGAGTCTCTTCTCAAGCTGATATTTTCTAGCAGGAGAAGATGAAGCTGGAATAAGCTCTCTCCTCCGCTGCACTCGTCAGACGGCTTCATCATCTCTCCTTTGGTCTGTCTCTTTCTAGAATGTAGGTCCTGTGAGGGTGGCTCCCTCGGCTCCTACAGTCACCCCGGAAGCTGAACAGGTAAAGGGATGGACAGAGATGATGGGTGGAGGGACAGGTGGAGCGGTGCCCTCCTCAGGGACAATGACGTGCTGACAAGAGGCACAGCCATGCCCACTGCCAAACAGACGGACGTGGAGTAGCGGCTACAGCTCGAGCTGCCGCACCCCTGACGGTCTGACGAGACTGGGCACACCCGGGGGCTGCTGAGCTCGCTAGGGTCGCCCCACTGCACCCCCACCCGCCAGCACCGAGCCCCACCACACTGCTTCACCTGAATCCACCCATGCACCGGGCTTTCTTGCCTCAGCGCCTTGCACATGTATCCCCACTTTCTGGACTGGTTTCTCCCCAACCATCTACGTGACACTAAATCCTCTTCATCCTTTGGGCCCGAGGTAAAACATAACTTCCTCAGAGGCCTTTCTTGGCATGTCTATCCCTCAATCTAAACTGAGGCCCACTGGTGTCTTCTCTCACAGGACCCCATTCCCTCTCTCATCGACATTTCCTGAGTTTACAATGTATGGTTCGTGTCTGTCTCCCCGCTGACTGTAAGCTCTGCAAAGGCAGGGATGAATCAGGATGCTCCTCGTTGTATCCTCAGACGCCAGCAGCACAAAGAACGCGCCTGACAAGGATGTGCTGGCCGAGGGGATGAGAAGCAGCTCTGTGTGCAGAGAGCCACAGAGCTGCTCCCCTCAGCGGGGTGTCTCAGGGCCTGGTCCTCACTGCCCTGCTCTCACCTGGCAGGCTGGGCCAAGAGCACCCCGATGAGCCAACCTGGCTGCTGGGGAAGCTGCCCCAACAGGGAGCCGAGGAGGGGGCAGAGACAGAGGCCCCTTCTAAGCTGCTTTCTGGACATCAACAGCACCTCCTACCGTGTGTGTCCAGCTCCTCCGAGGTGCTGTGGCCACCGGCCCCGCTTCTCCCCAGACCGTGGAGACACACCCCTCAATCCTACCTCTTTCTTCTGAAGCACATGATGAAGTCTATTCTCAGCAGCTATTTTCTTTACAAAATCTTTTGTTAAGCCCCCCAGAGGGAAGAGAGTTCTCCTCAGGGCGTCCTGGGAAACCTGGCTGAGAAAGAAGGTCTGGTCTTTAAAGCTGTCAGCTGCCTGGAGAAGTCTTACCACTGCCAAGAGTAAAGAACAAGAGATATTGCAGGAATAAAAATAATCATACTTTGATTTTTTTTTTTTTTTTTTGTGAGGAAGATCAGCCCTGAGCTAACATCCATGCTAATCCTCCTCTTTTTGCTCAGGAAGACCGGCTGTGAGCTAACATCTATTGCCAATCCTCCTCCTTTTTTCCCCCCAAAGCTCCAGTAGATAGTTGTATGTCATAGTTGCACATCCTTCTAGTTTATGTGGGACGCGGCCTCAGCATGGCCGGGGAAGCGGTGCGTTGGTGCGTGCCCGGGATCTGAACCCGGGTCACCAGTAGCGGAGCGCGCGCAGTTAACTGCTAAGCCACGGGGCTGGCCCCATATACTTTGATTTTAATACTATCCTTCTGTTTACTTAGACAGATTACCCCTGGTCTGGCAGAAACAAAAATCAATACTCAATAGCAGGCTATCAGAAAAAAAGAACCACCATGGTAAATGTAAGAAAAATTTTCACTCCCAATTTATCCACTATTAAAAAAAAATACAGGGAAGGTAGATTTTATGCGACAAGGAAATTTACTCCAGTTCATACTTTCGATTATAATATTTTCAAAGAAGAAACATCTCATGAAAAAATGTTCTGAAGCGATAAAAAAAAAAGTCTAAAATAAATTCAGCCCATTTGGGAAAATTGGATGAGATAACTTACAGAAAATTCCACTGACATGGTGTCAGCTGTGCTGTTTTCTAACAATCCCAGATGTGTTCACGCCATGGCTGTTTTCAAGGACTCTCCTAACTTCCCAGGGTGGACCACTGGGGACAGACTATGCTCCTGCAGCAGCACACTACTTTTAAATGCATTTTCTTTCTTGGTAAAAATGGTTTTTGTTTGGACTCCAAGCTGACATTGTCCGATGTTCCTCTGCAATTTCCCTGATATTCTCTATTTTATTATAAAGAATCATTTCTGGCTTAAGGCAATGGTGCAGAGGGGTGACTGACCTTGACCACGTGACAGTGGTTCCGAAAAGGCCCAGCCCCACCTCTGGGCCAGATCAGTCCTGCCTGGCATGTTACAGAATTTCCATGACTGCAGCTGTCGGGTTGCCCACTCTGAAGTTCTATAACCAATGGAAAGAACTAAACACAGTATCATTTCTCATAGCTAGTGCGAAGAAAAGCCTCAACAAGTAGCACTCAGAGCGCGCTACACGTGTGACGGGTCTAACAACACGCGTACACCTGTATGGCTGGGCAGTCACGTGTGTGACATGCTGTAGTTAATGTTTTCCACATGTGACATGTGTAGTTAATGTTCTCCACCCCTGACCTCAAATGGGATTCTCACGTTAGCCGTGTGAGGTAGAATTATTCCCATTTTACAGACGAGGAAACTGATGCTCAGATACCTAAAGTGACTCGCCCAAAGAGGTGCCGGGAGAGAATGGCAGAGCTGGAAACTGTGCCAATCCCTAAATCTCTATTCCATTACTTTTTATGTACAAAACCAAAAAACCAGTTAAACAGTTCAACCAGTCATCATTTGCCAAATGCTACTTTTTGTTTCAAAACTGAATTTAACCAAACAGTGCATGTATAAAAGCCTCAGAATACTGGGAACAATTTGTATTTTCTAGCAGTTCGGAGTTATTTTAAAACAAGTTCAAAATCTATTATTTGTAAAAAAGAAAGCTGGCAACCCTTGGAAAGGAACTAACCTTTGGCGAGGGCCTGCCTGTGCCGGGAGCTTTACTCACACACCTCCACTCCTTCAGGCCGTGTATTCACTCGGAGAGGCCGGGGTGCCACCCGCCACCTTGTACAGGTGAGGAGACCCACCCGGTCACAAGGCCAGGGCCCAGGAGCACCGGCTTCAGGCACCACTAACCCTGGGGCTGGGGCCTCTGCTGCCCCCCTGTGCACCCTCCCCATGACCCAGGCCCAGGCCAGGGGGCCCTATTCCAGGTCTCCAGGGCAACTGAATAAGAATAAAATAAACAGCTTTAGTGTTCCAAAAAACACACTGAAGACAAAGACACTGTGGTGTTATTAAAACAGCTACACATAAAACTTCATAAACGTGTACCAACGGGATCAGTGAAGCTTCAGAGTGCCAGTGGCTCATCACAGAAGCCCAGACAGCTCTGGAAGCAAACATGTTCTAGGAGGCAGGCAGCCATGCCTGTTCAACATGGAAAGAAATCCTTCATCTACTCAGGTCTCTTAAGTCCACATCCACTGGGACATTCTGCTGTGGAGTCCCCAAGTGGTAGAGCTTTGCATTCAAAGTCATGTCTTCCTGATACAGAAGGGATTCCCAGGCGGGTGGCACCCAGGAGTGTGAAAGGCAGTCCCCGGAGAGGAGCTGGGAGAGAGAGCAGAGGAAACCTGCCATGTCTCCCCCACATGTCAGTACCCCAGAGGCCCGCCAGGCACACACGGCAGCTGAAGGCCCAGCATCTGCAGGCAGCAGCGGGAGGCCTTCCCAACAAGTCAGTGCTGTCCTTGTGGGCTCGAGGCAGTAAGGTTATCTGTGCACCCTCTGCTGTGAGAAACGGAAGGCAGGGAGAGAGAGAAAGAGAACAGGGCAGCCAAGCAACTGCTGTCACACGCAGGGCTCCCGTGACAAAGCGCACTACCACATGATGGCCGCAGGCTGGGTGACACAGAACTCAGCTGGGCCTGGTACAGCAGAAAGAGCACAGATTATGGAGCTGGGCAGAGATCCACCTCTATCGGAGGCACCCAGGTCAAACGACTTCATCCAAGACTCAGTTTCCTCATCGGTGAAATGGGGCGAGAGGATATACCTCCTGACACCGCTAAGAGGAGTGAAGTGGAAAGTGTGCATGTAAAGCCACGGGTTGGGAGCAGGGGAGCAGGTGGTGGTCCTTGCAGAAACATGGTTCTGAGTCCCATTTTGTCTTTCACTTAACAATGATGTGAATCCTCCTTTTCTACAAATGTACACCAGGACAAGACAGCAGCTGCCCAGTTCACTGTCTGGCATTTATGTTTTTCTAGGAAAGTGAAACTTTGCTCCCTTTGACACTGATAAACTAATTCGTATACATAATCCTTGTCAACACAGTTCCAAGCCTGGCCACCAGGCCTGTGCTCCGAATAACAGCACTTGTGTCACACTGAAGTATACCTTGATCTTCAGGCCTCAACAACTTGAGGTAAGTAACAGGGCCTACAGCACTCCAGTCACTGTTGTCAAATATTTCCTCAAATATCATGGGAACCTTCAAATCACCAACACACGGTGTCTAGAACTGGGTTATAAATTACAGATTCAATTTCCCACCCGCCCCCAACCAGGACTTCTGTTGCCCATCACAGGCCCTTGGAGGAAACGACCCTCTCGGTAACTGCACTTTTTCAAAGAGGAAACCAAAACAAACAAGCTAGTTTGGAACACACAGAGGTCTGGCAGGTATGCTCAAACAACGACCCACTGTCATTCTTCGAAATATCTCACTTTGTTCACAAACAATTAAGCTCTGACCTGCCCACTTTTACTTACCATTTCTAACTTCAAATCGATTTCTGAAAAGCCCTTCTGGCCTCTTAACGTGCTTCTGCTGAAAGACTTCTTCATCCTCCAGCGAGGTTCTTGCGTAGTGACCTGTGGCAACTGCATCTGCTCCTGCGAGGTTTTTAAAACACAAGGATCAGATTTCAGCCTTGCATTCGCTGGCTCGGGGAATAGAGGCACACCTTAAATTCGGTTAAACAAGCGGCCTTTAACTCTTCATTTAAAATGATATAACCTTGTTACAAGGTTTTATTGCCTCTTTAATGGCCTTTCAGAAGTTACTATCTGTCCATTCATTCATTCTAGCTTAAGGAAATAGTCAGATATGCACACAAAGATTTAAGTACAAACAGTTCATTTCACAGTTTCTTATACTAAGGAAAAACCGAAAACAACCAAAATGTTCAACAGCAGGAGAATACGAAGTAAATTAAAATGCCATTGCCATGGGAAAATGCTTAAGACTTAGAGAAAAAAAAGTATATAATACTATCATAGCATTTTTTTTAATGTACAGAAAAAGATGAAGAAAAATATCAGAAAGTCTATTCCTTTGATTCCGGGAAGTGAAATTATAGACGACATCTTCCCTCCTCTTTTCATTGTTCTGTAAATTTTCTTTAATAATTATGTATTAATTGATACAGATGCTAGATGGTGAAGGACCATCAAGCATATTCAATTTCTTCTTTCCACATTATGCAAAAAAGTCAAAGAACCTACCAAGGCATGTATTAGTCCATAACCTTTCCATTGTGTGAAAATTTCAGATATTCAGTATTCCAAGACACTTCTTCCCGGACAGTGCAGCAAAACTGATTCAGTACTTAACCAACCAAACTAGTTCAGTGTACAACAAAGACACAATAAGAATTAACTGCAGCACAGTAACTATCTGAAAAAGTATATTTAGGAACACACTATTACACCTTAATTGATTTTCTAATAGAAAAAAAAAAAAAAAACACAACTCTTCAAATCTATTTCCTTAAAGAACAACCACTTACTGCCAAAAGCACAGGATTCTTCTGTGAGAAGCCCTAAGATGTCAGGAGTCTAGGTTTCACGTATTTTTATTCTGTGTTGCACTGTTCATGCAGTAAATTCAGACTTGGAAACATTCCCCGCAGAAATTCCTTCCAAAGCATCCCCGAAAGATGGCCACCTAGGGGTGCCCTGAAAAGCTAAGGTGACAGGGAGCTTCACGCTCTCCAGAGGCAAGCATCATTCCCCTCCTGAGGAGCTAGGGGTGCCTCCCCCGAGTGACATCCTTCTCCTGCGCATCCAGCTCTGCCCTCTGGCATCACACACTAGGCATATACCTGAGCACCACTATGAAGACCCCAAAGTAACCACACAGTTCATCAGATGGCATATTTCCAGACACACTCAAAATCAAGTCACACTCCATGCGTCTGTCACTTTTTCCTGAATAAACCAGAACTAAATGTAGCTCACCAGACGTGGTCTACCCAGGGCAGACCACAGGAAACCCCTCTCCCTTCTTCAGATGTTGTCTGACACAAGGCGAGGTCAGGCTGCGCTGGCTCTGATGCCAGATGCCAGACTGTAGACTCACAGTCAGCTCGAAGCATCTAAAGTCCCCAGGTCTTCTCCCCATCTTGTACTAGAATTAATTACTGCAACTCAGTAGCAGACTTTGCATTTATCTCTATTCAATTTCATGTTTTTGGCGTTAGTTCAGGATTCAAGTTTGTTAAGTGTTTTTGACTCTTTGTTTTTGCAGGCATTTGTTTTATTACCTAACAACATGAACCAAGTTTTCATTATTGTCTTCGCATCTGTAGGTCCCTTGTACATTGGATCTGCAAGCCTACTTTGTCCCCATCTTAGTCACCACAAAAGTGCTGACAGGACAGAGCTGCCAACAGTCCTATGGCACACAATAACATGTCTTGGCATGTGGCTAGACATGGCGGGGCGAGCTGCGATGGGACAGAAAGGCCAGTAGCTGGAACTTCAGCTTATTACTGGTGAACCCAACAGCAGGGGACAGGAAACAGAACCTGGAATTCACAACAGCATAGCAACAGATGCCAAGAGGTACTCTAAGCCAGCAAGGCAGCATTAGAAAGGTTCAACATAAAGGAAAGGGGACGTCCCCACAGGCAGAGAGGAATGAGAAGCAGGAATTTAGGAAGAGACAAAACCTGCAGGCAAGCTGTCAGAGGTAGCAGGACCTTGACGATAAGATGGGTTTTCAGAACAGGCCACTAAGACATGGTTTCAAACCCAGAGAAACAAAACAGAGACCCAGGATCCTGAATCAGGTGCAGACCCAGACCTGTTCTCAGGACAAAGCAGAAACCAACATTTGGAAGAAAGAGAAAAGGTCTCAGCAGGACTAGAAAAAAGGATTGCTAACAAGAAACTAAATGCCGAGTTTCTTGAGCCCTGAGTTAGGGCTCCTGAAACTTCCACTAAATACACTCACATCTGGAACCAGAGCCGCTCTGAGCAAAGCTCAGGGACAAAGCTAAACCTGCAGACAGGGCCTAGTGGCCCCACCTTTCAACTCTCTGGCCAGGGATCCACATCTGTCCTCAGGACCTCCTGCAGTCGGTTCTCCTGAAATCAACCGTGCCTGTCCTGGTACTTGTGCGGTCCACGACGAAGAGGTGCTCTTCCTTCCTGGAGATCTTACCATGTCACATTGCCAGAAAGTTCCTTCTTTCAGTGAAATACAAAGTATTATCATTTTCACTGCTTCTTTTCCTTCTGAAAGATGAAACTGTTTACAAGGTTTTGGCTTCTGGCTATCTCTGAAAATCTTATGATTTTTTAAAAAAGAAATGAAGATAATCCAAATTACTTACCAAGATTATCCACAGCATAATGAAAAAAACAACTGAATTTGATATGCTTGTTGCAGACTATGTCAGGATTGGGAGTCCTTCCTTTTTCATATTCATTTAAAAAATCACTGGAATAAAAGAAAAAAACGTTTCATTTCTAAGTGTGAATCAGTCCTCAAAAAATAAATCAGTTAATTACTTGCTTAATTTAGAGTTTCTCCTTGTCTTACCAAAACTACAATTTTCTGCAAAACAGGACAGCTTCAGTATACAGCCATTTTCAGTACTGTCATCAAACACTTGTTTAAAACCAGTTGCACTTTCCACCTGAATCTATGATAACTAACAAACCTGGATTTAAAATAAGGCATTACTACCTGTTGCTATGGCTCAGTAGCCATTGCGTCTTCCCAAAGGCTCACAGGGTGTGGGGAGGGGCTGAGAGTGACTCACCAAACTCCACTTCCTTCAACTTCTCTAACATAGGAAGGCTTAGGCGAGGAAGAGAATATGCGCAAGTCAGAGTAGGGGTAAAATCCTCTGGAGTGACAATGCAGGGCTCTCGTAGCCATTCCACAATATCAGCCTGGGAACCCAGGTCACTGGCAAATGTGCCAAAAAATACTTTTCTAATGTGACCGAGTGCTTCTGAGGACTAGCCACCTCCCAGGCACTTACAGTGGATTAGGCAACCTAACTAAGAGGATTTCAGCTCTAACAGACTGACTGCACATAGGAGAAGGACATTCTAGCAAGAATTTCCTGGTCTTAGAGTATTCATTTCAGGAGGGTTATGATGCCTGTCTCAGGAGTTTAAAATTGGGTGTATTCTTGGTATATGCAATCACTTTTTCATTTAACCTAAAGCTCTCCATTGATCAACAATGGTTAAAAAAACACAATGCTGGGGCTAGCCTGGTGGCATAGTGGTTAAGTCTGCGTGCTCTGCTTTGGCAGCCCGGGGTTCACGGGTTCGGATCCTGGGTGTGGACCTATACAGCACTCATCAGCCAGGCTGTGGCGGCAACCCACACACAAAATAGAGGAAGACTGGCACAGATGTTAGCTCAGGGCCAATCTTCCTCAGCAAAAAAACCCAAAAACCACAATGCTGCTTAAGAGGATCGTGTTATGAAGACAGACTAAGCATCTGCACAGGGTCACAGGTCACATGTGCATCTTCCACGTTAGCAGGCAAACTGTGTTCCTACGACTTGTCACTCCCCCCAGGAGTGCAGAAAACTCATGTTGCTCCATATTTTCAACAACACTTGATATTATTACACTCTTTCCTTTTTTTTCTTAATTGTTAGAAAGCTGTCAAGAGGTTCACTAAGCTGTAAACTACTTAAAGTAGAATCCACGTTTTACTCTCTCTATACGTCCATGGCCCCCAAAACTTTTTCTACTTAACAAGCAATTAAATAAATGGTGAAAGAGACTGAACATTTAAACCAGTTTATGAAAAGTATATACTGTTAACCACTACTCAACAGCACAACAGAAGACGTGTCAGTTGGCATTAGCAAAAACAACGGAGCCCAGGCTACTCAGTGAAAGGAGAGAAACCCCGTCTGCACTTTGTGAGGGAGACGGCAACGCAAAGAACGCCTGGACTCCGACCCTCGAAGGCCAAGTGGGTCTTGAACAAAAGAATTCAGAAGAAATTTCTGGGCTAGAGAGCATTATTAGAACAGTGAGCCTTCAGAACAAAGAGATCAATGAGCACAATTATAACCACACCCAGAGGCAGCTGAGACAAGGCCAGGACAGAGGGAGATGGGCAGAGCCCAGGGTGAGCTCAGAGGCCATGCAGAGACGAGCCCCACACTCTGACGGGGCTCTCTGCCTTCAGCCTTGATGACGAGAGCCCAAGGCACAGTGCAGGGACCTTAACAGAACGCAGTGGGAACGCTGGCCTGGGAACCTGGGCTCTAGGCCAAGCTCTGCTCCTAATCCGCTGCAGGACTCAGGACAAGTCATTCTACCTGCCTGGCATTAGTTAGAGGTGAGTGAACCGCGAAAATAATCACATTCACTCACATACTTGCCAAACTAAGCAAGAAAGGGTGAAGTTTAAATTCACCTGGATTTCTTGCAATCACTTCAAACACTGCAGTACTCAAAGGAACCCCCAAAATCAGCCTTCCCAATCCATCCAGACTTGACCTTGAAAGTATCACTGACTCCTCCTCACATTCTCTTGCCCCCAACACTCACCAGTCACCAAGCCCCAGCACATCGTTTCCCAAAGTAAATCTAAAGAACCCCCTCCACCAGAATCCACTGAAGTGCTTGTTGAAGAGCAGGTTCCAGGGCCCCATCCCAGACCCAGGTCCAGGTATGTATCTAACACACCCCAGCTGACTTTTTAGCCCAACATCTACTGCCCATGGGTCTGTCCTCTGGGGACCTGTCACAGTCAGCCCTCCCCTCCCATCCACACTCCCCATGTTATTCCAAGTCTCTAGCAGCAGTGTTCCTGAGATTCCCTGCCTGCGGTCTCCTCCTGTAATTTATTCCACACTTGGCTGACAGTTTTGTCTTCTTAATGATGAAAATAACCAGAGCTACATTAATTGCTTACCAATGTACCAGGCTAAGAGCTTTATATACAATCTCATTTAATTCTTATAATAACCCTTTGAGGCACTATCTCCATTTAAAGGAGGAGAAAACTGAGGCTTAGAAAAGTCAAATCAATTGCCCAAAATCACACAAGTGGCAGAATCAAGACTGAACCCAAGGATTTTCTGACCCTAAAGCATAACACACCCCTGTGCGCATCACCACTGCCTCAGACGCCTTCAACGGTCACCCAAGGCCTAGAGCCTAGTCAAGGCTCACTACACTCCAGCCCTAAGCACCCTTCCTCTGCAGCAACAAGAGTCTAGTGAAATTTTTCAACAGTCCCGAAATAAATGATGGGCATTTCTCCTCCTCTTCACCACTGCTCTTTCTACTCCATCTGGAATGTCTTCTCTACTCTGTTACTTTCAAGGGCAGGTTAAACCTCACCTGTTCCATGAAGCCTTCCGGACGACTCCACAGGACACACTTCTCCCTCTTCTGAACCTGTACCATTTCAGTAGACTCTGGTACTTCCTACGTGCCACTCACCACCATTACCTCTTTAGAAGATAACGTCCTCCCCCCAACTAGACTACAAATTCAGGACCGTGGTTTATATACCTTTACGTTCCCAAATGTAGCACAGCACCTAGCACAGAGTAAGCACTTAATAGTAATTGTTGGGATATCAGATTTATAATTTTTTTGTGTGTTTGTTTCTTGTTTTCAAAAGGCACAGGGGAGTGGATCACCTAACTATTTTCTTAGAACCCCCAATCACTGACCTGCATGGGCATGGATATTCATCTCGTGGCACCCTCCAGGGGAGACCTCAGCCTTAGCTCCCCTACCCTAAGTTACCATCAGAAACATCTCAAGGTTCAAGAGGCATTAAAGAGACTGCTGGCAGGTGGCACACTAACAGGAAGAAGAGCTAGGGGTGCTGTGGGATGCAGGCCTGCCTCTAACACAGAGCTCCCGAGGCTTCCCACACCTGGTCTTTGGCACCCCGGCCAAAGAGCGCTGGGGGCTCGCTCACAGTCTGGCTGACTCTGGCAATCCTCCCTGGGAAAGGGCTCACAGCGCATCGGGGAGCCTTCCGTGTCTATGAACTGCACTCACCTGAACACATCGTTCCAGTATTCCTTCACGTAGGACACCTGATGGAAAGGGATGTCTAGGATTTGGCAAACTCTGTAAGCATCTTCACAGTCTTTGTCAGCAGTGCAAACTCCATGTTCATCCAGCGAGTCCCAGTTCTTCATAAACACCCCTGTCACTTGGTAACCTGGGGGAGGAAGGAAGGACAAATTAAGGAAAGCATGTAAAATCAACCTGGGGTGAAAAAGGCAGCAATTCCTGAGCTCCTGGCAGCTCCCTGACACGCCATGCCTCGTGCCTCTGTGCACTAGTTTGCCTGGCAGCCCCTCCTTCAACACGTGGTCCTCAGAGCTGACTCACATCTTAGTGAGAGTCGGGGAGACCCTGACTCTCCCGGCTGACTTAGACGCTCCTTCCCCTATACTCCCGCTGCACTTTGTAAAGGCCTCCAGCATCACAAGACATGGCTAGACTGACTTGTTTGCCTGCGTCCCTGGCATATGAGCAAGATGGCATTTTTTCATCTTCGTGTCCCCACCCTGTGTCAGCACAATGCCTAGCACATAGAGAGGCTTAGCAAATGTGTGAATGAATGAAGAGCAGAAAGTCAACAAAAATTTTCAAAGCAAATACAAACCACCATTCAGTTATCAGAAAAGTAAACTCATTTCAAAAGTTATTTAGGGGGCCGGCCCCATAGCTTAGCGGTTACATGCGCACACTCCGCTACTGGCAGCCCGGGTTTGGATCCCGGGCGCGCACCGACGCACCACTTGTCCAGCAATGCTGAGGCAGCATCCCACATACAGCAACTAGAAGGATGTGCAACTATGACATACAACTATTTACTGGGGCCTTGAGGAGAAAAAGGGGCAAAAAAAAGAGGATTGGCATGGATGTTAGCGCAGAGCTGATCTTCCTTACAAAAAAAAAAAAAAAAGTTATTTAAAGCGGCTGGCCCAGTGGCGTAGCAGTTAAGTGCATGCACTCCGCTGCTGTGGCCCAGGGTTTGCAGGTTCGGATCCCACACCGTCACACCGCTCATCAAGCAACACTGTGGCAGCATTCCACATAACGTAGAGGAAGATGGGCATGGATGTTAGCCCAGGGCCAGTCTTCCTCAGCAAAAAGAGGAGGATTGGCATCGGATGTTAGCTCAGGGCTAATCTTCCTCACAAACAAAAATAAAGTTATTTCCAATTACCATCTAAGACTTAGATTTGAAGTCATCACACATAAAGATAATTAAAATTTTGGCTATTTTAAGGGCTGTATTACCCATATATTTTATAAACTATTTTTGCCCTTTTCTTTTGTGACAAAGTCTCCAACCAAATACTGGAAAGACCAACTTGAGCTTTACACCATCTTAATAAACTACACAGGTGCCTACCCTTTATGAGAAATCTGTTCCTTTAGGGTAGGCTCAGTGTAACGAAAGACAGGGTATTTGACTGCAAAAGGTTTGATATAGTACTCCAAAGAACAAAGAGTCAATGACAAAGCTTTGCCAAAACTAAAACCTATACTTGCAACAGCTCCCCCAGCCCAGCAGGTAGTCAGGCCCTCCCTCCTCTGCTCCCCGGAGCAAGCGACTCTGCTTCTCTTACAGCACGTACCACACTGGGCTCCAGTCGTTCCAGTCTGCCCCCCTGCGACTCCCTAAAGCACCGAGCTCCTCAAAGGGCAGGGGCCGTGTCTCACACAACCCTTTGTCCCCAGCACAGACCAGAGGCTTAAAAAGTGCTTGCAGGATGAAAAAACAACTCCACACACGGAGATTTAAAAATCCCCTCTTCTAGAGCCTCATCTGCCTGATCATTTTTCTCATGGAGATGTGATCCACTCACACAGGCGCAGGCTCAGCCACTCGAAGATGGGACCTCAGCGCCTTGCTTATCCTTAACTTTCCAGGGGGCACATAACAGGACAGGCACCTCCAACAAGACTGGGAAAGCCCGTGATGCCAAGAGGAGAGGACCACGCTTTTTCTTTGCTGCATCCATCAGCTTCCCCCAAGGAAGGCTGGAATACGAAGTTGTAGTCTGGATCGTGGGGAGGAGGCAGCGCTTACCTTCCTAAAGAGTAAATAAAATATCTGGTCTCCCCATGCCTAGTTTTCCACATCTCCCAAAACATGCCCATACCCCATGTCAGGAACCTTGAAGGGCTCTGTGCCCAACATAAAGTCCCTAATACATCTTCCATGATCAGGGCTCAACCTACTTCTCCACCTCCCTCCTTCCACTTCCCTCTGGCCCCGCCAACGCTCCCACCCCTCCGTGCTTTCGCTGGGCTGGTATCTCCGCCAGCAGTGCCTGCCATCTTACCTCACACTCCCAACTCATTGCTTAATGAAACCCTAATCTTCCTTCAAGTCCCAGCTCAAAGACCACCACCTCTATGACGCCTTGATTCCCCCTTTCCCACAATTATATACGCCTCGAGCTTGCCTACGTGTCTCTGTAGCACTTCTCATTATACCTCTCATAACAGCTACGGTTATTAATACGCACTAACAACCACTAGTGTCCCCTGAAGGCCTAACACGTGTCGGAGACTGGGGTAACCCTTTGGACGTGTTGTCATTGAGTCCTTCCAGAAGCCCCGTGAGGCAGGCGTCACCTCCATTCCACAGAGGGGAGGCTGGATGCACTCGCCCGGGGCCAGGAGCCCCGCCTTCACCCTGCGGCCCAGCGCCGAGCGCGGACGGGGCTCAGAGCAAAGGCTAAGCGGCCGGGGCGTCGCACGGGAGGCCACCGACGGGGAATCCGGACGGGCAGTTAGCCTGGGCTCCCGACCCCAACACCCGTGACTGCGGGGCAACGCTCGGGCTTCTGCCGGGGAGTGTCGTCCCCCGGACGGCAACCAGGCGCGACTCAACGAGCGGACGGCCGTCGGGGCGGGGCCGCCCCGTGGACGGGGCAGAGGTCGGCCCCTGAGGACGCCGCCACCAGCCCCGCGCGCGGGGCCTCGGGC